CTTGCTCGAAGCCATCGGTGCTTGATACCCTTTTTGCTCGTTTGGCGTGTGTGGCCATCGCCTCGTGAAGAGTAAAGTACCCTGCAGCCATCATAGAAAGAAAGAAGACACGACGTGATCGATTGGGCACCGCACAAGGCACGGTCTTTGGACAACGCAATACCATCTCATAACAAGAGAACCCTGGCGTGTAGACGTCAATGCGTAACATCGTCCTCACGCACTAGCCCGCACAAAGCGCTGGTCGCGTTCCGCATGTCCCTCATGGAAAGCTCGGAGAGCCTGCGTCCATCTTCATCGACTTGCCCGAGGTTCTCGGGTGTGCCCGACACATTAACGCCGGCATCGAGCAGCTGCTGGCGATAGCCCGAGTAAACCTTGCCAAACGCTGTCGACATGCTCAGCTTCTGTTTTGCGTCGCTCGTTTCCAGCTTGTGCCTTGTCACCTTTCCGGGCATCTTCGTCGATGCACTCACGTCTCGGAAGGTTGTGACGGCATCTCGCATGCGCTCGAGCATGCGCCAAACCTCCCTCGTGTGAGACGCCCTGGTCACAAATGGTTCGTAGAATTTCTGTACAACGCGCGCAAGGTCCAACTTCAGAGCGATGCCCTCGAGTCTCTGGGCGTGTGCCTTCACCGCTGCAGCAAACATTAGATCCTCATCTCCTTGCACCTCGAAAACGCTGCATGGAAAAACAAGGACCGCTGGCTCGATGTCGATGGCGAGGTGTTCGAATTCTTTGCGTGGCGTGGCGCGGCAGACTGTCCATGACGAAGGATCGAAGGGCGGTAAGACGTCGTTGCCCAGCTGGTCCATCCAAGCGTTGCGGTCACATGCAACCGTGCCAAGGTCAAACGCGTGCTTTGCCACGACAGGCGCGCCTGCCTGCTCGCGGTAGTAACATCCGACCGCAACCGTCATATCCGTTACCCGGTCAAAATTGAACTCAAAGGGCGCGAAAATGACAACGAGAGCACGCAGCGTTGGGTAGCGCTCGAATAGCGTGTGTCCTTGATGGCGGCTTGCGGCCACTTTGCGATTGCCCATCTCAAGCTCGACGATGATCAAAGGCAGGACATCGCCGTCGGCGCTTCTGGCTCTCACGGCGACGTCTGGCGCATCGCCAAAATGGCTGATTTGGCCGTCACCAAGTGTGGATAGGCGGTCTACGCCGATGAGGCTGTTGTGCGCATCAATGCAATTTCCCAGTTGCCGGTTAGCTTCCGATGCTCCGGTGCCGTGGGGATTTGAAGCGGAACAGGTGATGAAGAGCTTGCGCGCGTCGTCGTCGAAGAAGAATTTGGCGCCGTGAGCGGCCGGCTGCGTCAGGTCCGGGCAGCGGTCGACGTTGTAGGCCACCAGCAGCCCCTCGCCGTGGACGCCGTAGTCATGGGCGTGCTGCACCGCGTTCCGCAAGAAGTCGGGCGCCACGCCGTCTCTCGAGGCGTCCATAGCCTCAAACTGTTCACAGCCATCTAAGTCTGCTGCGGTACAACAGGCACCAAAAAGTGCGATGAGAAACCACTTGTAGCAAAACGCAAGAACAACACGACGGGACAAACCTTGGTCGTTTTTCTCCAAAGCTTCTTCTTTCGCGTCCCGCTCGTCCTGCTTTTCCTTGTTCTGTGCTTCCTGTTTTGCCTCCACACCCGCGCCGCTTAAGCCCGTCAGATCTGTGGCCCGAACGATGACCTCGCGTGGGTTGAAACGCGTGGGTTGGAAAAATTCACGACTCTCCGTATGCCTCCATCCAAACCATACCTTGCTTGACGACGGCAGCATCCTGGCTTGCAGTGCCGCCACGGCGGCCGCCGTTGAGGCAGTGCCTGGGTTCAACGTTTGTGAGATGTATCGCCGAGCGCGTGCTTAAGCCCGAGCAAGGCCCAACCATACCGTACCCTGCTTTCGCGCCCTGTGAGCGCGCTTGGGTTTCGGGGCACCGTCATCCTGCTTCTCCTCCTTCGCTGCGGCTACATCGGTGAAAACGTGAGTGCTCCGCAGTGAAACCACGCTGGTCAGGGAGCATAAGAATACGTGTTGCTTGACTGAAAACATTGCAGCGGAGACAATTCATCTTAGCATCGTACCCTCCTCCATGCTGCTGTTGGCGACGGACTGTTTCGCCTTCCTCACTGGGGCACGGTGCGTCGGCGATAGAAAAATAGCACTTTCAAGCGTGAGCGTCCAGTAAGAAGAAAACCTCAGAGCTATGGATTAGACATCCCCGTAAACTTGAGTAGTAATAATATTTTTCTTCCTAGTAACTTGTTCTTCTGACGAATGGAGTTAGCAGCACGACCATGAGCGTTGGGTGAGCGGAGCCTCCAAAAACACCGAATTCGATAGGGTACTCCTGTGACGCACCACGACACTGCCACCACGACTGCCATAAAAGTCCAACATGATCATTTCGTTCACGTTCTCGAGTTACAGCTTGATCTATGATGAGTCAGAGACAACTACCCCTTACAGCTCGCATGCATAAAACAACCATAACTTGTCTCGGACAGCAAGCACAACTTTTACATCGGATAGAAAAACGGATTGTCAGACGGCAAGACTCGACCGTTATGTCACGGGAAAAGACTCGAGAAACAGCGGTTTGCCCAAACAACTGCAAACGACGTTTGAAGAGCTCGGTTCTGTGCATCCGCAGAAGTTAAAGTCAGAAATCATGCATGCTGTGCATTAACCGTGTTCTTAAACCCAAAAAAAGCGTGTTTCCGAAGTCTATTGATATAAGTGTTAACAACTCGACCACCGGTGAGCGGAACGACGCGACAATGAAGGAGAGTCGGCCGGGCAGCCTCTACCAGAGACGGCAGCCCAGAAACACACGCATATATAGCAGTGACGGCTTGAATCCTGTACCCATGGCACAGACCCCGACTTGACCCGTGAGTTGAGATAAGTGAAAGGCCATGCCAGTACCATGCTCATGCTCGTTGCATAAAAGCGAGAGAGGCACTGACAATCCAAGCACGGCAAACAAACTGCTACAAAGTGGCTACGGGAAGATGCGAGGCGCTAAACCAAGCTTGCCCATGCCGCCCATCAGCATCCAACCCGCTCACAATTAAAACAACAACAGAAATAGACATGGCGTCATCACCTAAGCACGAACAAGACGAGCAGGGATAACCCGTGCACGTCAAGCCGTTGCCCCGCTGCATGCAGCAACTGCCCTACCCTTGCTAGACCATGGTTTCCAATCTCTCTCTCTCCCCTTCCAGATGGATGTGCGCATGGGAGAAAAGAAAACAGAAGAAAAAGACAAAAGAAAAAAAGACTCATAGAGATGGCAGCAACAACGCCAACACCAGGCAAGGCCTGGCTTCAGTGATGTTGGCAGATGCAAACACTCACTACTGACACGAGGTGGCCAATCTCGAAACTTGACAAGCTGCTTTTTCTTTTTCAAAACAGGAGGGCGTTGGCCGACTGGTTCTGGCCAAAGCCGGCGGTGACACTGCTCTTTTGGGCCTTGCGCAGGGATGCCACCCAGGCTTGCGCCTCCGAAGCCTCGCGCGCCTTGACAAAGAGCGACTTTTTCTTCATGACCAAGGTGAAGCTGTCTTCCTGGCCAGGATGCTCCTCAACAGAGGTGATGTCGGCGATCGGGATGGTCGCAATCGGGTCGGCCCGCACAGACGCTGCGTACGTCAACGTGCCCTCGGAGAGGTTGAACCAGCGCTCCTTGTTGCCACCCTTGCGCGACAGCGTCTTCTTGGGTTCAATGGTCACTAGCCAACCACTACGCTCTGCCCGAATGTCCTCCTCGTGCCCCACGGTTGTCGCCTCCGCCGATGATTCAGAGTTGTCGGTGGCTGGCGCAGCAGCGTCAGACGACACGGGCGCAGGAGCCGAAGCGTCTTCGCCAAAGCCCGTTGCCTCCTCACCAAAGCCCGTTGCCTCCTCGCCAAAGCCCGTTGCCTCTTCACCGCCGAAACCAAACTCCTCAGCCATCTGCGGGCATCGATGCCGTCCACCAGTACCGTGTGAGATCCCCGACCAGCAATCCACTTTTGCAGTCCGCCCCGGCCAGAGTCAACCACACAGCATCACGAATGGACCCTGTTCAAGCAAGCCATACACCACCACACGCATCCATCTCTACATGATGGCGCCGCCCTTGCCCACCCCTGCGCTGCCAAACGTCAACCGTACCTTTCAACGTGTTGTTGATGTACGCTTCACACTGTGAAAAAGAAAAAAAAAAAAAAAACACACACACACACACACAGAAATAAAATGAGAGAGAGAGCATAAAGGAAGAAAGGAAAATCGCAAATGCATCCAACAGCTCGTGCGGTGCACTCGTCCTTCAACCTGTATTGGGTGTTGTTTGTTCTCGTTTGATGAAAGCCGAAGGCCCATGGGCTGGCTATGGCGTTCAATCGACCAAGAACCAGTGGTGAACCGGAGGCAGGCCCCTGAATGTGGGCGCTCTTGTTCGGCTGCCGTTGATGCTCGATCAAACTCACAACTTGCTTCTTTTCCAGATCAGCTGTTGTTTTGGTATGGTCACAACATCTGTTCTTGATACCTCAGAGGAATAAGAGCGAATAGCAGTGAAGCAGATTTTTGGGTTCAAATTTATTGAGGAAAACCAAGCGCTATCACTCAAAAAGCATAAAAGGATCCAGTTTCGATTTGGAGCCGTTGGATGGGTTGGAAGCTACCAAGCCCGAACGCCTCTCGGCAGAACAACATGGGAGAAAGAAAAGTTTGATCGGGAGAGGAGCCTCCTGACGCTCCATTCATGCTCATTATAGAGGATTTCTTTTCGCTACGGCGCACAAGGCGAAAAACCAGCATCGCAGAGCTGGGTGGAACATTTGTCCCAAGATCCAGGCTTGTTGACATGTGATAAAAACAAAAAAGCACACTCACAGACACAACACGACCACGAGTCGCAGAGGCCCGGCAGCTTGGAGGCAAAGAATCAAGCCATGATAGACAGAGAACGAGAAAAAAAAAATGGACGAGAGTGCAGGAAGAAAGTGGGAAAAAGAACCTGGGAGAACACAAAAGTAGGGGGGAACAAACGCAAACGTCTCCAAAGAAGACGCCCGTGTAGGAACTGCACGTCCACAAAGGGAAAAGAGGAAGGGACGGAGCAGGAATCTGGAAAAGGTCGGCACCTGTGGGATGTGGGCCCACCGTCAAGATGAAAAAAAGGCGTCCGCCTAGGCGGAGTTTAGTGCGGGACATCCAGCAAGTCATCGTGCTGGCTGGGCTTGCGGAAGCGGCGCAGCCAGTTGAGGGCCACGCGTTCCATGGTGGTGCCCTCAATGCCAAAATCCTCCAAAGTGATGACATTCTTGCTCAGCTTGTCCGAAGTCGACAGCTGTGGTAGCGCATGCATGCCACACAAAAAATGAATCGGGCGCCCAACTCGCCGACACTGCAGAGAACCACACATAAATAGCCAGTCGATAGCGGATGCACATACCCGGAGAACATCCTGCTCGCTGATAATGGGATCCAGGGGCAGGCGATCAAAGGCGCGGCCCACGGCCCTGAAAGAAAATAAAACCACAATGAAAACCGCAATAAAAACCGCAAGACAACAAGGAAGCAAAAAGTATGTTGTGAGAACGCGCAAGCCAAGGGTAAGAGACGAGGCAGGCATGATTGATGATAAACGCCACGAGAGACATACCGGCCGACAGCCACGGGAACGTTGGTTGGGTTGTTGGGAAGACGAATAGTCTGGTTGACAAACGTGACTAGCTCCTTCACAGTGTACTCACGGGGACTAACGCGCAGGTCGATCATACCAAGATTGAAATCAGTGCTGCGTGACAGCTTGACGGAAGACCCAGGAAAATGGACAAAAAAAAAAGCATACCCGAAGAATTCCAAAGTTTGGCCCTTGATGTACTTGGCGTTGGAGGCCGCGGCAATGATACCATCAGCCACATCCAGCGACTAAGCCGAGCAACAGAAAACGGAAGCGCCGAGAGGGTAAGGCAAGGCCAGTGGCTAAAGTTGGGTGCTTGCGAAACCAACACAAAGCCAGGAATGGCCTTCCAAAAAGACGTACAAACACAGGGCGCTTGGTGGCCTTGCCACCGTCGAACAAGGGCTGACCAGTCAAAGGGAATGATCGCCACTCTACGGAAAAATCCAGCACAATGCCGAGTCAAAATTCAAGATGGTCAAGAAGCGGATATGCGACAAAAGACAGAAGCAGTGACAGTGGCAGAACCGACCAGCAAAGCGGTTCAGGAAGCGGTCCTCGAAGCCAATAACATCGGAAGGACGGACAATGATGGCATCGGGGAATGCTGAACGCACGGCTTCTTCGCCCAGAGCCTGCCAAAGGCGATACAATGAGTCAGTGATTCTTCAAGTTGTAGGACGGGGGAAGAACATGCACGTACCTTGGTTTTGTAAAAGTCGCATTCAGAGTCGGCGTCGGCATTCATGGAAGACACATGGATGAGGGTTTCGACACCCGACGCAGCAGCCGCCTCGCCAATTATCCTGGCACCTTCAACGTGAACATCGCTGAGAGCAAAATGGCTGCAAAAAAAAAAAAAAAAAGTGGCACAGAGGTACATTGAGTCAATATTTTCAACCCCGAGACATTGAGTCAATAGTTTCAACCCCGAGACGGCAAGTCATCCAAGCTCTGAAAATAGAGAATAAGTGGCAGAAGAAACGCCACGGGCCAGAGCCTCCAGGTACCTACCGCGAGTCGCAGCTCTGGCCAATCAAGTTGATGACAACGTCCGAGTACTTCATGGCTTTCTCGACCGAGGCGCGATCCAGAAGTTGAAACGGCTAGACGTAGAACAAGCAGAGAAAAGAACGGCAGGACCAACACGGTCACAATGAGAATCGAGGTATGACACACGCCGCGAGCGGAGCGCACAACTGACCAAAAAGTGCGTTTGGCCTAGGTCACCAGTCACGCGCAGGTGGCGCCAGTCGTGCTCATCGCCGCGATAGGGCAGCACCACCTGTGAACCCGTACCACCTGCAAGAACAAAACCAGCCAAACTGACCCTGAGCCAAAACATAATGTTGCTCAAGCAAAGCGCCCCTCTCAGCCTTCACCTGCCCGCAACAAGGCCATCCTGGCTGCACTCTTGTCCGGTCTACATACCGAGGCGATTGACGACATAGCGGCCCAAGAAGCCGGTGCTGCCTGCAACAAGACGCACGAGTGGGCGGGCAAGCGGAGGGAGTGGTAGAGATGAGCAGAGGTCAGGGCGCCGAGCCAGCCCGCAGCTGAACATGAGAGTTGATAGGCCAACACACCGAAAACGGTGGCGACAATGCCGCTCACAGAGGAGCGACCACCAGGGCCAGTTGCAGCCACCGAGGAGCGCTACAGGCAATGTAAAATACAGCATGAGCGGATGAGCTGTCCGGTCGCGAGCGCTGCCGGAACACATGGGTCTTGGCTCCTCTGCCCTCGCTTTCAGCACATCACCATGACTCCAGAAAAACACGCCTCTCTCTCCTCAATCCCACCCAAACTTCAACGGGTGGGAAAGAGCCCCATCCCAACATGTCCAACGCGTTCAACACGTCCAGTACCGCCGGCCGGCTGCCATATCCGACAGCCTCAGACTCACAATCGCATGCAGCGCCGCGGCGTTTGACATCTTGGCAAGTTGTTGGTGAATAACTTGCACACGAGGAATCACCGTGTTGTATCCCCCACCAGTGAATTTCCCTCAAAACAGCTGTTGTGCCGTTGTTATGTGTTGTTGTGAGGCTTCTGAAGTCTTTAATTTTAAAGGTGTAGTTTAAAGACTATGAGCATCTGTGAAAAGTGTGATCAAAGTCACGCTATCGCTTAGAGACCAAAAATCTCTCTCTCTCTCTCTCTCTCGAAATCTCTCTCTCTCGCGCGCGCGCGCACTCCGGCGGGACACTGGAGTGTTCTCAGTTGAAGGCTGCGGTCTGTGGAGCCGCCAAGCTCAACTCGTGTGTGGATCGATAGGCCTCGGCTTCGTCGTCAGCTTCTCCGTCAGCTTCTCCGCCGGCTTCTCCGTCAGTTTCACCATCACCATCGACTGTAGCTAGCGTATCACGCGCGCGCCTGCGCGCCCGCCTCGCCCCGTGGACTGCCGGGAATGGATCGCGATGGCCCTTATCGGGTAAGCCAAGATCCCTTTCCAAGCGTTTCCGACCCGATGCACCACTTCAAAGCTCAGGCCGCATAACCCCTGTCCTTAGCGTCGGCTGGACGATAGCCAGTTTTCCAACGAGGTGTCCAAGTTTGTTCAACAGGCCCTGGCCCGCACGAGGCAGTCTTCCTCGACCTCTGCGCAACATGGCCTCGCCCGTAGTACGGGCCGCTCTGCCCAACGTCGCCCTGGTACAAACCCTTCTTTTACCTGATTGACTCCGGGATCCCTCCCCTGCTCAATGCCTCAGCGTTGCCGCACTCTCATGTTTCCATCGGACTTGTTCAGATCCTGCTTTGAGCTTGGACCCCATTAGTGCCACACCCGCCCCCTCGCAACGGTATTGTGCGCTGCGCCCGTATCACGTCCCTTACCAAATCCACTCCAACGGTCTGTTAGCTTGACAGCACCCTGCCCACCGCACATCTTCCGCCAGGATTCGCTCAGCGCCCATGAACCGGGTTCAAAGTGCCCATCTTGTGAGCCCATCTAGCCCTGCCACCTTCTCGCTCAACTCGGTCCTCGAAGCCGGCAACCCGCCGCTTTCTCGGCCAGAGCGACCCCGACCCGGCGATCATGGATACCTGTACAAACCCGATCTTCTCGCCGCACCCGCCACGCCCCGCCAGGTCGCCATCTCCCCCTGCCGTCTGCTTCGTCCCTTGCCTGCCCCGCCCCACCGTATTCTGCTCACCACTGTCAATTGGCCCATTTCTGGTTGCATCAGGGTGAGCGACGAGCTGGATCTGCGCGCCACTCCCGGGCTGCATCTGCGCGCCCCGATAGCCAAGCTTCGCGTCGCATCGCCTCAGCTAGCATCAATCGAGATGGCTCGGCCACCACGCATGGGCGCAGCCACCATCATGGCAGCGAGGCGCTTGCACAGGCACCATCGCCGTTCTCATCCTCACATAACCGGGCCCGGAGTGCCAAGTCTACCAATGGGCACTTTGAGGACGTGACGAGCCCGGAGGAGCGCCACCGCGCCGAGCGACTGTCCTCTGTCATCACAATCCATGTGATTGATAGCAGTCACCGTCGCCGTCGTGACTTTTTCTGCTCCTATCGGCCCCTCGTGAAGAAAATGGGCTTTTTTCGCAATTACCTTCACAGCCAAGACGACGCGTGCGTACTATGCCATGTGCATGGCCTGACATGCACAACACCTGCATCGTCTCTTTCCTTTTCTGATTTGCACCGCAACGTTCTCTGTTTTTTTTTCACCGCTTTAGGCGATCGGTGGACATCTCTGTTCACTGCGATCTCACAATCTTTGAGTGGCTGCTTCGCTATGTCAAGGTCTGCAGGCCCTGATTCTCATGGTCACGCGTGGGCCCGTCGCTATTTTTTTTTTTTTTTTTTGGCTTCGACTCACGCCGTTCCTGCTCCGCTCCAGGCTACCTGGCTCAAGCAGCTACACGAGACCTCAGAGAGCAAACTAGATGCAGCAGATCGTGAATTTTTGGCGGTGGAAGATGACGCAGACACAGCCCTCATGCCCCAACTTTCCGTTTACAACTCGGCGTCCATTCTCATCAGTTCTGACTATTTAAAAATGAGCAGTCTCGTCAACGAAACTCTTACGTATGATGGCTGCCTGTGCACTGTCCTTGTCAAAAGGCACGCGTTGCTCACGTGCCGGTTGACCGCACGGCTGCCCTATAGTTTTATCTATGAACACATCAACGACGTAATTGCCAGCCCTACCAGCCTCTCTGCCATTGACCCAGAACTCATCAAACAGTAAGGCACCTCCCCCCCCCTCCCCCCCCCTTCTGCTTCCTCCTCTGGCGACTGTTTCTTCTTCTTTGATTTGGGGTCCATCGTTTCTCATGCACGCAATGTCTGGTTTTCGCTCGATCGCGTTTACGCAGGCTATCCGACATGTTGACCCACGATGACCTCCAGGCTATCAAGGATCCCAAAGACAAACTGCTCAGGTTTGACTCCATTTGCATACGGTCGACCTCCTCCCAACCTACCCATTGCTTGGTCCATCTACTGCCTGGATGCTGATTCTCATTTGCATTTGCAAAATACAGCAAGCTGTGTTGGCGCAAGATTGAGCTCATGTTGCAGCCGGGACAACCGGTGACACAGCTTTTCCGATGCCGAGCCTGTCAGCGTCTACTCCTACCCTGGGCAGCCCGTGAGAGCTTGTGTGACCATTCCCGCATGCGCATGGATGCTCAAGGCCGCCTTCGCTGTCACCACGAGGTCAGTCTTGCCAGCTTGCAGCGCTCCATTTTGATTGCGATTTGCCTATGAGGCCACCTCACTTCACCTGGCCTTTATGTAGCGAGATACCGAGTGGGACCTCAACGAATACCTGGTAGAGCTGCGCATTCAAGGTTTATCCGCCAAAGATGTATATTGGAGGTGCGTCTGTCCCCAGCGCTATTGCAACATAGAGGCCCTTGACTGCAGACGAAGCTTGTTTCGTGCACGAGGGTTCTTATGCCATCCTCAACCTCCTCAAACGAATCCTCCCCGTCTTACCGTCATGATAGACTACGGTGTCTCTCGCGAGCTTACCACTGTCGCTTGTGTCACATGAACTTCCTGCCTGCTGAGGTAAGAGGATTCACCTGCTGGATATCAACCGTGGCCAGCGCGCCGCGCGCCTTGACTTGTACAATCCTCATCCGCACACACGCACACCCCACAACTTCTTCTTATGTCTTTTGGGTGCAGGTGGACACGTGCCTCTATCATTCGGAGCCGGCTCGCTTTGAGCCCGCCCCTGCGCTTCCCGCTAGTGCTGTTGCAATTTCCCCAGAGTCACTGGGGGCGCATGCTCAGGGCGTTTTCCCTTGTTGTGGAGCAACTGTGTTGCGGTATGTCAGTTGATGTCGACTTGCTCGCGCCTGTGTTACAACTGCCACAGGACTTTCAGCTCCAATTTTGGCCTGTCAAGCCGACGCGTCATGCCCTGTCCTCGACTGCCCTACTCTTCAACTAGGTTTGACGCATCATTGGTGCACAATGGCTGTGCGTTTCGAGCGCACGAGGCCGATTTGGAGGCCACGCAAGCGCTCAACCCACACCTGAGCGAAGAATCGCCCTCGGAGTTGATGTCCTGGCTTCAGGATGCTCGCGCTTACCTGTCTACCTTGACCACGCGTAATCGCTCTTTAAAGCCGCATCTTGATGATGAGTGCGTGCGCATACGTGCTGAGATGGCCCCAATGCCGTGTTTCAATCTGGAAGGGCCAAATCTGATCTTTTGAACTCAACTCAACCCACCTATACTCTGTGCGCGCATAGGCTACACATGGTCAACGTGTTTGGTATTGAAGAGTCACACATGGGTGTCGGTTCAACCGCCGCTGTGGCAGTGAGTCTGAATTTGCTCGATCATCAGCAATCGCTTCTATTCCGCCGGTCCTTTTGTCGCCCATCGTCTTGCCTCCTTACGGTGCCCTTTGCTGACTGATTTCTCCCATGCGACCTGCCACTTAGCTGGAGGAGTTTCAAGAGGAAGACGAAGATTCAGAAGAAACACCTGTAGCGCCCCGCGTTGTCGTGCGTTCAAGTAACACCGCCGCACAAACTGCAGATGTGGCCCATGCTCGCTTGGGTGACCTTGCGCGTGAAGTTGGTCAACTTATTTCACTTTTGGGACGTACGTGAAGCCTGCGTTGTGAGGGGCGCAGTACCATATCGTTGTGGGGTCTTGTTGCATGAATGACTTGCCTCACTGCCTCCCGTAACCTTACCCATGCACGTAGGACGCATGGCGGGCTTGGAACGTGCCGTGTCTTGCTTCGGGGCCGACGAGAGTTCCAAGCTCAATATTCAGTTGCTCAGGTATGCCAGTTTGGGTGCTTTGCGTGTGTTGAACAAGCTTGTGGGCGTGTTGTGACTGGGGATTGGATGCCCATTCTGCCGTTCGCTTTGCACCGCAGGCACCAAGATCGCGGTGACATGACTGCGTTACGGGCTCAGCTTCGTGCTGCACGACGGCCCCAAACCCTCACGCCAGCGCCACCGCGACGAACTGGCAACTTTATCGATCCGAATGACAAGAGCACCAAGGTTTTTGCAAGAATGCTGCAACGCATTCAGCGGATTGAGCGCGAAGCAGCCACCCCAACGGCCGCCCATCCCCAGCGTGCCTTTTCAACTGCCGGTCGTCAAAACGCCCTTAAGCGCTTCAAACTCTAGTCGTGTTGCTTGTTCGCCACACCTCATCATAGAATAATCGATCCCCTATGCATGGAAACTTGAAAATTTTGTTGTGTGGTGAAGAACTCAAGAAACTGTTTTTTATTGATTTTTGGTAATTTTTTCTTTGGCTTTCTCGGCGGGGCAAAGCGAGAGGATGGCGGTGGCGGTGGTGGTGGTGTCGCTGCTGTTGATGATCAACTCGGTCCGGGGCACAGTTGGTACGAATACATCTGTGGCTGATGTGCCCATCTCCATTTCGTCAGGAGGCGCCCTGCGGCTGGGTGAGGCCTCGGGGCCGGCCGTGTACTTAGCCGGTGTGGATGTTGGTCATCAGCTGCTGGCACTCAATAGCACGCTGCGAGCGCAGGTGGAGCGTCTGGAAGAGCTTCGGGCCGAAAAGGAGGTGTTGCGCCTGCGCTTGCTGCGCAACGGCCTTCTCCCGACACCTGGGCGAGTCACCATCCCTCTGAATATGCAGCTGATGCGAGGTCTTGCCTTGGACACCCAGGGGTTGATTGTTGCTAGCACCCCTGTCGCCCATGGGTATAACAGCCTCACGGCGCTTCTCTACCCGTACCCAGCCAGTACAGACTGGTCCAATTCAGAGCCTCAAAAGTTGCTCGAGCAGCCGGAGTGTGATGTTGAGAGTGCCGTCGTAGCAGAGCAAGCTTTGGTGTTCCAATGTTACGGCCTTCATCGTTCAGATGGGGATGCGCCGCAGGCTCGCCTCTCTTATGTGACCCGCGCAAGCTCAAAAGATCCATGGCATCCAGAGGTCAACACAATTGTCCTCCCAATTTTCAACCCGTCCATCATGGGCATTGCGCTTGCCGGAAACACACTTGCGGTTGTGGCCAAGGATGGTTACACTCTCTCTATGCCAAGCTTGCACGTGTACGAGCAAAACACAACGACCCTGAGGTTCGAGAGCCAGCCGATAATTACACTTTACCACCTTTCAGCGATGGATGCCTTTAAGCTGACACTATCAGGGCAGCACGTGTTTCTGGTCATGAGCTCGAGCTACGCCATCACACTTGCCGTCTTTGACCGCAGCACGAACTCGATCATATTCGAGCAAACACTCTTGGAAGAGCAAAGTGACATGACCCTTGCAAGCGTTTCAATGGTAGGAGACCTTGTCGTGCTAGCTGCAACGCAACATTCAACGAACCCCTCGCGTCCCGAGCTCTACATGCTAGCGCGCGTTGATGGTACTGGGCCATTTCAACACCTTGCCACCGTTCCCCTGGCCTCCAGAGGCGAGCTCCTTTTCGCAACACTTTGGGATAACCGACTGGCCGTGTCTCTTCGCGACACTCTTGGAAGCACTTCGGGTGAACTCCTACTTGTTTATGAGTTCTAGCATCCGCCCCGTTTCCATTTGCCCGCTTTTGCCCCGCTTGTGGCGCTTTGGGGCACGAAGGGCACATAAACCGTGCGACAATTGAAAAATGAACATGTAAAGAAGAATAATCTGAATGTCAATTTGGCTGCAAACGTCAGGTCAAGAGACTGGAATAGTAAGGAGGGGCAGTTGCAAAAGGCTATTGGAGCAGATAAACGTGACCGGGTGTCATTGCGTCTTTGAGAAACCCGACGGCCAGGGTCGTGCCGGACGCTGCTAGGCCGCGAGTCATCGAGCTAGTGGTCGTGTTGAAGGGGAGTGGTATCTGGTTGATAATGAGATAGGGTCCCCCCACAACAGTCGGAGCGTACAAGGTGATGCGCTGATCCTCGCCGTCTTCATTTTGGCGAATGGCGGCCAAGGTCGTGCCAAGCCAGGCCATCTCACGGACCCTCGTGCCCATCATCTCCTGGCCTGGCAAGGGAACAAACGTGGTGGGATTGAAAAGGAGTATGCGATCTATGCAGAGCGAAGCGATGCGATCCTTGGCCACGGCGATGCGGCGGCCGAAAAACTCGCAATTATTGGGAGAAGGATTGCCGGTCACGTTCGGCTGAGGCGATGCTCCCAGAGGATCTGTGTAGGTGTAGATGGCACCGATGGAATTCCAAGTGGGATCACCCACGTAGAGGGCTGCGCCGAGAAACGCAATGCCCGTGCCGAAAGTGGATGATGCACCGTGGCCCAGGGTGGTACGTAGCGCAAAGAAGCTTCCGAGCTCATCGCGGCGATACACGAGGACAACGCCGCGCCCAGCACCGCCTGCGTCGACTGCCGCCACGGCCAGCACGCCATTACTCAAAGCCAGGCTGCGGGCATAATTGCCGAGATTTGGCGTGGCTATTAAAGTCTGCAGATGGGTCATAGCCGACCACTCATCATTAGCAGGTCGAAGAAAAATGTCAACAGAGTCGTTGCGTGTACCGATGACCAGCTCGCGTTTGTCGAGGGCCAGACGTCGGGCAAACCCCAGCGTTTCCGTCGCATTGGGAAGAGGACCCACATCGGCAGTGACGCGAAACAAGGCAGCATCAATAAGACGCGCTTGCCCTGCGGCAGTTGCAGTCTGGACCTCGGTCAACAAGCTGCTAGCCGTATTGGCGAGCGTCTTGAGCTCGTTCAGCGTACCCAGCACGTCCACGTCGTTCACCTGAACCTGATTCAGCGCCGTATCCAGCTCTGGATCCCCCAAGTTGAGCGCGCCATCATGACCCACGTATATACGCCCCTGCCGCGCCGTTGCCCCATGGCACACCACACACCCCGCAACCACCAAAAGCGCCACCACCGCCGCCACCGCCCCGCCCCGTCCCATCTCTGCAAGCCTCGAAACTTGGGAGACGGCCCAACTTGAAGCTTTTTTTTTTCTTTTTTTTTTGCAGCCAAGAGGACAGTCAAATGCAGAAATCAAGTCCGCTACACTGTCATGAAGCGTCGAAATTTTATGATTTCGTGACGGGCAACATGCCAGATCGAGCTCTCTCTCTCTCTAAATCTCTAAATCTCCAATTCTCTCTGAATCTCTCTCGAAATCTCTTTCTCTACATCTAAATCTCTCTCTCTCTAAATCCTCTCTCTAAATCTCTCTCTAAATCTCTCTCTAAATCTCTAAATCTCTAAAACTCTCTGTCTCTCTCTTCATCTCTCTCTCTCCCTCTCTCTCTCTCTCTCTCTCTCTCTCTCTCTTTCAATTCAACTCTCTCTCTCTCTCTCTCTCTCTCTCTCTCTCTCTCTCTCTCTCTCTCTCTCTCTCTCTCTCTAAAAAGCATCCAGCATCGCATCAATCAGCTTTCACGGCTGCGACGCGTTGACAGGGGTCTGGAGGTTGGTGCTGAGCCTCAAGATGGCCCAGGTTGGGCGCCAGTTGGCGGGGTTGGCGTGTGGGTTTGTGCTGCTGCTGATGTGGAGCAGCAGTTTGTTTGGGGCACCGGGGGCTGCCGAGCCCGCAGGGCGGATGTACTTGGACGAGTTGGGCCAACTGCACATTGGCGACGAAGCCGGCCAGGGTGACATCAACGTTCTCGGAGTCGAGGTGCGGCACACCCTGGCTGAACTGAATCGGCTGGTGCAGGCCCAGGCTGAGGAGCTGGAGCAGCTCGAGGCTGATCGCCGAGCCATGCGTACTACCCTGCTGCTCAATGGGGCAATGGCCGAACCCCTAACGCTGGAACTGCCCCAGCCCCAAGATGGAGCTCAATTTGGCTATGCAGTCGGGATTGCCGGTGACCGGGTGGCCATGGGCCTACCCGGATACAATGGTGGGCAGGGAAGTGTTTACGTCCATCGTCGGCCTCGAGGCCAGCCGTGGGTTGCGGCCATCCGTGACGCAACCCTGGAGGGCGACGCGCCTGGAGCCAACTTTGGGAAGGCCCTGGCTCTCGATGGTACCACCCTGGCTGTTTCACAGTTTTTCGCTACCAATGCAACATCTGTGCGCATCTTTGACGAGGGTGCCACGGCCACACAGACCATTCTGCCTGCCCCGGCCTTGGGCGTGACCCCTTCGACTCGATTTGGTGCCAGCTTGGCCCTGAGTAACGACCTTCTCTTCATCGGAGACCCTGGCGCTCGGTTGTTCGATGTCTCGGACAACGTCGGTGCTGTGTTTGTCTACGCTCGCGCACAACCTAGTGCGGGCACCTTTGCTCTGCTACAGGCCCTGACGGGGAACGCCATGAGCTCCCAGCTTCGATTTGGATTGCAGCTCGCCGCGTACGGCCCCGAGTTGAGCGTCACCAGCGTCCTCCAGCCCGCGGCCTTTCAAGTAAACTGGTTCGCTTGCACACCGCAGGGCTGCAAACGGCGGCACCCAGCAGCCACCTTTGCATCCACCGATGATCGTGGCAACACGTACCAGGCCGCCATGGCCCTGCTGCCCGACGCCTTGCTCCTCGCCTCCCAAGGGGTAGACGCGACCGGCGAGGTTCTGATCTACCACCGTCTGTGGGACAACACCCTGGCTGCCACGCCAATCCGTATCCCCCATCCCTCGCCCGTGACCGGCAGTTTGTTTGGCTGCAGCATCGCCGTTGACGACGACGCCACGTTGATTGTGGGCGCCTACAGGCAGCCCCACGACAACATCACAGACGGCATTGCCTATCTCTTCCCGTAGTGCGCCTTGAGCCCCCGAGGTAGGGCTTCCCATTGAAGAGTTGAGAACGTAGCGCCAACGTTTTTCTTCTCGGCAAGCACCCAAGTGGGAAAAATGCATTCTCCCAATGCTCCTCACATACCCAAGCAGTATTATCGCTTATTATACTAGTTTGAATTGAATTGATCCATGCATCTAAGCCAAAGGGCTTTCCCGCGGCACCAAAGACAGAGCAACCGGCCCGAAGAGAGAACAAATCAGATTTCCAGGGGCTTTGCCAGGCAAGCGCAGTGCAAAGTGAATGAAAACAATTCTCATATCATAATAATATCATATTCCAACTCCTTAATTTGGAACGGATGATGACTTCAGAGCCCACTGCCATATCGCTTGATTGGCGCTATGTATGTTGGTGAATGTCAGCTAGGGTGAGCTCAACACCGCTCACCGCATCAGTACGCCCCGACCGAAAAGCTTTCAGTCACGATTCTTTTCCGAAAAAAAAAAAAAATTAGGACGAAATTAGACCGAAATTGAGACGAAATACTTGACTTGAAAAGCCAAATCTTATGTTGAAAACGGCTGTTCTCAACATATCGCGTCATTGGCAGTCGCTGTTTCTATTTTTAATTTTGTTTTTCTATTTTTCATTTCTTTTTTTTTCGATTTTTGTGTTCAAAAGGTAAAAACGAAAACGAGAGAGAAAGAGAGAGAGAGAGAGAGAGAGAGAGAGAGAGAGAGAGAGAGAAGCGCGCGCACGGCGAAAGCTGCTGTTGGTTGGAAACGGCAGCGCCAGTGGTGGACACGTCCAACAGCGAGATCTGATCTGATGGTAGCGTCAGGCAGGGGGGTAGGGGGCACGGGTTTAGTGTCCCACCTGCCCAAGGGTTGGGCTTTGGCTTTTTTTCCGGGGTGGTTTTTGTCGAGGATGAGTCGATAAGGTCTCGCGACTGGACTGATCGACAGGTGAATGTGTGTTCTGTGTCACTAGGGCAGCGGGTGTTAGCCGCCGCTTGTGTCGACGGCGAGGTTCATATACCCCGAAGCGTGACTACGATTGCCACTGCGTGAGTCGTCAAGCCTCAGTGGCAGTGCACCTCTTCCGACGTGGTTCATGTGAGTCGAGAGGCAGCGCTCACACCCACTGCCCCGTATCTGTCTCGAATCTGGCTAAACGTGTTCGTTTCCCGTGTGCGGTGCCGCCCATCTTGCTTTTGCACAGCCAAACCGGCAACATGTTTCGTAAAACCAAGAAGATGGTCAGTACCCCGTGACTCCAACGTATAGACGCCAGGCGGCTGCTTCTACTCTGGGCATAATGTTTTCCAAGCCTACGCTCATGTGCTGACCCCTGCTCTTGGTCAGGAGCGAAACAAGTATGACGACCAGATTCTCAAGGCCGTTCTAGAGAGTGATGCCAAAGCGCTTCGAACCTTGGTTGAGAAGAAGCGCTTTTCGTCCTTGATCGCCGCTGATAATGATGGCCGCGTACCGTACGTTGCGCCCCTCTGGCCCGCCCTTCTCTCTGCCTTTGCAACCTCCAAAGTCATTCATACCTGCCCTGTCCGTGCTTGCCGTGGCAAACATGACCTACACCTCACTTTCAGAATCTACGAGGCATGCCGTCTGGGTTTCACGGTACGCGATGGGTTGCATCCTCTTGGTGCCCTCTCCATGCCGCACTGTCCCGGCTGCTCCTTCATGCCTCACCCACCTCGCCTTTCTTGTTTGACTTGCGTGCCCTTGAACCATCGTCTTCACACATTCACATAGGAGTGTGCCGAAATCATCCTGGAGGCTGAGTCGGAAGCGCACATTCCTGATGAGGAGGGCCGTAATCCTCTTCACATGGCCTCTCTCAACGGGCACGTGGAGTGTGTCAAGCTCCTCTGCTCTAAAAGCAACATCGCCGTAGATACGCCTGATTTGCGCGGTCAAACAGCAGCCATGCACGCGGCCATTGCCGGACACACGGACGTGCTCACCTTCCTTCTCATGCGAGGTGCCGACCCCGAGGTCACGGATCATGATGGAAATACTTGCCTGCTTCTGGCCATCCGCGCCAACCAGGTTCGGACGGTCACCGTGTTGGCAGCACCCCCTCTCGCTAAACTTCGGTCAAAAGCTTGGGACTGAAGCCCATTTTTCTTGTCTCCCTCAACCTCATTCACTTTTTTCTTTTCTCTTTTGTGCGTCTGTGCTTATGCTCTGTTTTGCTTCCCGCTCCTTTGTATCAGCGCGAGACAGCCATTTGCCTGCTGAATCACTCCATTAACGTCAACGCTCAGAACCGCCAGCAAAAGTCGGCTTTGATGTTCGCTTGCGAGCTGGGCCTGCACGAGCTGGTCACCATGCTCCTGCAACGCGGCTCTCAAGTCGACCTTCGGGATACCGGAGGCCGAAGCGCCTACAGCTATGCCAAACTTAACAATCACGCGCGCTGTCTGGAACTTCTGCCCGAGGATGCCGACCAAGGCAGCGCGGACAGCAGCCGACCTGCCTCGACCACCGACCTGCAATCGTCCACCAAGTATCCTCCACCGTCCCGCGCCACCAACCCTCAGCTCAATGCGCTTCGCGAACAAGTACGCAACAGCTCCACTGTCCCACCTTGCTTGCCGGCTCTCGCGTGGCCTGGCTGGCCAGGGGTGCACTTGATAACACCGGCATGATTGCTCCATAACTTTCAGGTGGAGGAGTTGACTGAGAAGTTGAAGCAAGAGCAGGAGGCCCATGCCTCGGTGATCGCGGAGAAAGACCACTTGCAAGCCGAGGTTGGCCTTGCCCTGTTCATGCCCCATTGCATTTAATGCGCGTGTGGTTGATGACGTCTTGACGTGCACCACAAGCTGACCATGTTTCGCGCATCAACTCGCCTTGCTTGCCCGACCACTAGCTGTCCGCTTATTTCCCAGCTGCAGGCGCCGGGTCCGCGGCGGATGGCGGTTCGTCTGCTGCCACACCCTCTTGCTTTGCCATGTGTGCAAACTCGACTGACAATGATCTTCTTGGGTCGATAGACGAGGATGGTACCGATGCTGAACAGAGCACGCAGGCACTCAAGGCTCAGGTGGGTGCCTGGCAAACTGAGAGACGTGAAGGGTTGCCTCAAAGGTACAAATGTGGCTTTTGCTTTATCCGCAATGCTTACACGAGGCAATGCTCAATTTTCCATAGCTCGGGGCCATGGCCAAGGCTAAGAACGAAGCTGATGCTGAGGTGGAGCGCCTGCAGCAGCGGGTCCGCGAGTTGGAAAGCAGCCAAAAGAGCGGTGGTTTTAGCGCTCCTTTTGGGGTGCGTACCACCTTGGTGAATGCTGGTCTTTGATTTGTTCTGACTTTGCCAACGCATGTCTAATCTTGCTGTTTTTTTCTTTTTCCGTGTGGTGGTAGGATGACGACGGCGGTGGTTCTATTCCGCTTGTGGTTTTCAATCAAATCAAGGAGAGCCAGGAGCGGCGAATCCGCGAGTTGGAGGCACAAGTTCAAGGCAAGGGGGACGCCGTGCCGACCAATGGCACAATCAAGGCCGGCGATGTGCAGCTCACCGCTCTTGTTGAACTTTATCGCTCAGCGCTCGTGCAAGCCGTTCAGGTACATTCATCCTGTTTTGGCTGATCAAACAACCAGAAGGGGTGGTGCGTGTCAAAATTGTGACTTGATCGCCGGCACTTGATGACGTAGGGAAATCTGGACGAGACCATCAAGACGCAGGTGCTGCAGCTGGCTGCCTCCGAGTCACAGTCATAGTTTGAGCTTGTTTCGTTCTTTATTTGGCCAAGCTGATTCGGCTTGTGTGTTTGTGAACATCTTTGGTGTTGTGTTGTTGGACCTGGCCTTGCTCTTCATCAAGACTCTCTCTTCATGGCCATTGAAGACATAATGTTTCTTGAGCGCAAGCTTGGTTTCTTCTCGATCCCGCGGAAAAGACGACAGAGAGATGTAGAGAGACAGAGAGAGCCAGGGATTGAAGCAGACAGACAGAGAGAAAGAGAACGTAGAAGTGGAAGAAACATGATGGCACTCGAGTATCGGGCCACAAGTACGACATTGGGGCATCACACAACATCCAGACATCAAGTTATAGAAGCACCATCACATCAGGCGGCACCAGAACACACACAGTAGCCAGCATGGTCATGAATAGCCCATCGACCCATAGTAGCAACATCCGCCAAGCATCCGTCCAAAACAATTTGCAACACACAAATAAAAGCTTTTCGTGTGTGTGTGTGTGTGTGTGTGTGTGTGTGTGTGTGTGTGTGTGTGTGTGTGTTGCAATCACTCACAAGTTACAATGCAGCAACACAAGAGAGTAACAGCAGCAGCAGTAGCGGCAGCGGCAGCGATCGGGACGGTGATGGTGGTGGGTGTTGCAGGTTCAGTGGCAGCGCTGGGGGAAGTGGCTGGTGTTGGATCTGACGTGATGGCAGGGGCTGTTGGTGGGAGGATGTCCGTCGTGGATGAACAGGTGGCGACGGCTGCGCCGAGCTTTGGGCATGGCATGCTCGAGCACTTTCAGCTGGCAGACGGCTTTCTGAGTAGGTGGTGTGGTCTGTGCCCACTGGCCGTCTCGACTTGAGATCGGAATGATCGGGAATACGCTCAGAGGAGGTGCCATCGTCAGTGCGCTCACCGTGGTCTGCTGGTCACTTGCAGATCTGAACCACGGTAGTTTTGGCGCCGTTCCCAAAAGCGTCCGGGCTGCCCAGGAAGCTTATGTCACACAGGTTGGCCTCGATCATGGCGACTCGTGCGTGTTCAAATCATGGTATCAGCTCGAATCCAGTTCAAGAGCTCACTCGTTCCTTTGTTGAATGCACTTGCGCACCTTTTGCGATGCGGGGATTTGGGTAATTAGATGGAGGCCCGCCCTGATGATTGGTTTCGAGGTGCGCAGAGGTGGCAGCCGCGTGTGCCGAAGGACTGATGTGCAGTCAAGCTCATGATATGGATTTGTTTTTTTGGGGGGGGGTTCAGGCGGCTATCAAGGCATTCTAGAGGGGGTTCGCGTTCAGCTGGCCGAGTACATCAAGGCCAACCAGTCACAAGTCGTGTTTACGGAAAACGCCTCGGCCGCCATCAATGCAGTTTTGCGCAGTTTGGCACACAGCGTAAATGACACCTTTTTGGTGCTTTCGTGCGCCTATGCCATGGTGAGCAACACCTTGACTTGGCTGGCAAGTCAGAAGCGCGCCAGCGTTCTTGTTGTGGAGGTGGAATTTCCCTTGGCCAGCGAGGATGATGTGGTCACGCTGGTCGAGCAGGCCCTCATTAAGCACCGTGCCAGTCATCCCAACGCCACCGTGCGCTTGGCACTCTTCTCCCACATCGTGAGCATTCCCCCGCTGCGCTTTCCCATTGCCAAGCTGGCTGCAGCAAGCAAAGCCCATGGCGTGCAGCAGGTCATGGTGGACGGTGCTCATGCGCTCGGCCAGATCGAACTGGACATGGGCAAGCTTGCCGCAAGTGGGGTCGACTACTATGCAGGCAATGGTCACAAGTGGTTATACAGTCCCAAGGGCACGGCTTTTCTGTGGGTGCGTGAGGGACTGGAGGCAGACGTGACGCCGACCGTCGTGTCATCCGAATGGGCGGCGCACGACTACGCTCGTGACTTTTTGTATACAGGTTGGTGCCAACTCGAAAAAAAGAAAAAAGAAAAAAGAAAAAAAAAAGAGAAAAAACATCGTGGCCCAGGGTCCGGAAAGGCAGAAACGACATCTCGTCGCCCGTGTCAAGGCTGACACACTGCTCTCGATTGTCGCATGCTTAGGCACCCGCGACTACACGGCTTTCACCTCGATCAAGGCAGCCTTTGACTTTCGCTCAGCTATCGGCGGTGACGTCGCCATCCGCACTTATATGCGTCAGGTGGCGCAAGAGGCTGGCCATTACTTGAGCAAATTGTGGGGCACGCGCTTGGCCGGTCCGTTGAATCTGACCGATGCCATGGTGGCCGTGGAGCTGCCGGAGGCCATCTGGCCCTTGGCTTCGACCCTCATGACAGACATTGCTCAAGACTACAACATTCAGGTGCGCGACGGGTTTGCTATTCATCAGAGCGGGAAAAAAAACCCCCATTGGTATCAATTTCTCTCGATCTTCATCTCTTTGATCGGAATTTGCCTCGCTGTGGACATGCTCGGTGCGCGTAGATTGTGGCCTTCCAAATGCCCACGAGCTTGCCCAAGACGTCAGACCGGCCCTGGTGGATGCGGTTGTCAGCTCAGGTCTATGTCGAGCTGGATGATATGAAGCGTGTTGGCGAGATCATCCTCAATCTGGCCCAACAACGTAAAGCCATTGATCCCTGAACAGGCTTGTTTGAAAGCGCTTGCTTTTGTGCATCGGGTGTGAGTCTTGGGCTGTTGGGGCAAGCCAAGCCGAATGGACGACTGGACTTTCCTTTTCCCTCCTTGTCTTTCTCTCGTATTCCACCTCTTCCTGTCAAATGCTCTCACGCTAGGCGGGCAAGTAGCCAGACAAACAAACAGAAAAAGTGGGCAGTCAGTCAGCCAACTCGCCAATCAATCCGACACCGACCAGTTGAGCCCTAGTTGATCGGAGGACGCCCTCCCCTTAGATTTAAATTTTTATTTTCATGTTTGTGCGCATCTAAAACTTTTATTTTTTTTAAATTTTTTTCGTGTTTTTCATTTTTTTTTATGTTCTTTATGTTTTTTTGCCACTGACGATAAAGAAGAAGCGAGAGACCGACTGGCTCCGTACACACACACACAGGCACAGACACTGGCACAGGTACAGATACAGACACGGGCACGGATACAAACACGGGCACACGTGCGCCTCCGTGTGCGGGTGGGTGTGTTGGTGGCAAGAGGCGCTGATAGATTTTGGCTGGGCAGCGACAAGGACAGCTTGAAGACTTTGGCTCCGTTTGCTCTTGACGTGGGCTGCGCGCCACTACGGCTTTTCCCTCTCGGGGCACTGCCGGCATCATGGCGATGCAGCTGGCTGTTTCGTATGATGAGGACATCCTGGATAATCCCTTCATGAAGGCTTTAATGTCCAAGCACCAGGCCCTTTATGCACGCGTCATTGCAGAGTGTTGGGATGTACGTCACTGTCGCGATATCGCTGGCTTTCGGGCACAGGGGCACCGCCTCACTTGCATTGGTGATTGCAAATATGCAGGTCTTTGTGCCCAAAAATGGAAGCTGTGACGCCGCTCGGCTTAGCCGATCCGAGGTTGAAAGCCATCTCATGCGTGAAGACGACAGCCAACCCCAAGCCGACGAGGGTGTGACGCATTACACGACCATGAACCAGAGGGTGCGAAACGAGCCCGCGAGTGCATGCCATCCCATCGTTCCTTGACCCCGCATATCCACGCTCTTGATCACTCTTTTGTCATCTTGCTGTGTTGCTTGTGGAATCTTCTGAGAGCAGCAAGTGCGCGTCGCCAACGGCGTGGTGGCCACGGGTGCCGGGTTTCCAGCGCCACGCAAGGTCGGTCCACCTGCCTTGCCTCCATGTCCCTGCCAGCCACACAGCACCTCACACGGGCAAAACCTGCAGGCACGCGTTCTGTTTGATGAGCTCTTTTACAACGAGGAGGAAAAAAAGTATACCGTCGCTTGCATTGACAAGCCCCTCTGCGGTGGTGAGGGCTCGTTCTCGGCTCCAGCTTGCTTGATGTGTGTTGCAGTCCCCCTAACTCTCGGCTTGAAAACATGACTCTGCCGAGGACACAGCACTCTTCATACACGAGGAGACCACGGCGCCGCAAACCGTACAAGAATGCGAGCAGTTTCTTTATCCTGCCAATGGTAAGGCCCTCGCACGTTGTTTCCAGGTTTTGACTCCTCTACCCGCCACGATTGGGGCGAGATGAATGCTCTCATGCTCTTTTGACCTTCCTGCTGCAATTTCATGGGACCTGCGCTCGCGGCTGCTTAGTCGGAAAGAAAACCTTGACAAGGGTACAAGAGCATGTTTTACTCTTCAAACAAAATCTGACGGGGGCCCTCACGCCAGGCCCGCGGCACGTCGTGGTATGCTTGACAGACCGCTCCTTCTGACCCAGCCTGTCAGAACAAAAAAACAACTTCTTGCCATTGCTTTCTGGGCACACGACTCTTTCGCGAGTAGCGCCAGCGTCTGTTTCCTTTCTCTTCAAGCTCATCGCAACTGGGCCACTAGGATTTGACGCAAGCCCTATATGGAAAGGCGCTTCAGTACATGTTGAGCGACGGTGTACACCGTCGCAAAGCCCGAGCCGACCCCCTCTACAAACAGCATCTACTCCTTGCCCTCGACACGTTCGTCGCTGCTGCGCCTCACCCGCTCGCACGTTCGGCTTGCTGGGTGCCCATGGATGTCTTTCCCTAATCTGGTCATAATGACGTGCCTCTGCACTTGCAGCGTGGTTAATTGTGCAATTTACGAGCAAGTCTTCCCACCCATGGTCGCAGCTCTGGCAACCAAGGTTGGCCATGTGCTCACAACAAGAGTGCCGTCGATGCTTTCCGAATCGCGCACAGCTGAGTGTTTTAACCAACCGTTTCATAGGATGCTGCGGTCAACAAAACAGCCCAAAATCTCACAACTGTTACGGTTTGTCTTTTGGCTTTTTCGTGCTGCACTATGAACTATCACTGATTGCTCAGGGCCCCACCAAGAGCTTTTCGAAGACCTCATGCATTGTTTGTGGCCACGCGCATCATAGTTGGACCAACTGGGCGGAAACACCTCCTTATTGGGCTCGTTTGATCGAGCCGTGCGGATTGTCAACGATCTGACTCACCTTCCATGCCCTCTGGAGAAGATCAATTGCTTGCAAGAAACCGTAGCCAACCTCATGATTTCGCCCGACGCGGACGGCACGATGGCCTTTGGTGCTGACGAGCTGGTGCCTGCACTTTGTTTCCTCATCACTCGGTGTGTTCTCGCAGTCCGCAGCGCTTGTACGTGTCTTGTCATTGCTCACACCTCACGTCGTCCTCTGCGATCCCAAAACAACAGAGCCCGAATCGTCAACTGGAACGCTAATTTGGTGTATATACGCGAGTTCCATTTGGGTGCACTTCCATCGCAGATGCACGATTATCTTCTGGTCTGAGCTGTCATGCACCAATGCCAGGGTCAGGCGCATGGCAACCTCGTTGCGCTCACCCATACCGGATTGGCATTGCTCCCGCAGACATCCTTTGAAGCTGCACTCGAGTACCTGCGCACGCTTGATGTGGACCAAGTGATTCCGTATCGCCACGAGCTGTGCCGGTTGCCGGACCGCCGAGGTCAGCCACCTGATTCTGGTTTGCTGCTGCGATGGCAGTGCTGGCTCGCCGGTGTGTTGCTCACAGGTGCCTCGTCCAAACCCCTAGCACTTAATGTGGCCAGCTTTTTCGCCCTCATTGCCACGGGCGATGCCGAACGCGTCCATCAATCGCTCACATCTCACCTTGAAGACCTCGGCAACAAGCTTTGTCATCCTCTCTGTGCCTGCCCCAACTGCAGCAAGGTATGATGAGACGACTCGATTTGCCAGGCCTCAAATCATGACTTGGCGCTCAACGTCATTCTGGATGTGGTGTTTCTCTGCAGTTGATTCAAGAACAACAACAGGACCCATCTGCAGCTACCGTGTTTTCTCGTGACCAAGAAGGCCGCACGGTTGGTCAAGCAGTCCGGCGTACCCAGCGCGAGGCAACTTGTGCATGCTTCTTTCTTGTTGCTGTTCATTTGTGATCATCCGTATGTCTTTTTTTTTTTTTTTTTTTTTTTTTTTTTTTTTGCACCCATATGAACGGCAGGCTTTGCACATTGCGGCGTATCTCGGGTTCAACGAGATTTGCCAGCTATTGTTGCATCATGGTGCTGTTGTGGACGCAACAGATTACCACAACGCCACACCACTCCACCTGGCTTGCCGGCGTGACCAGGCGCCTTGTGTGCTGCTGCTACTCGTGCACAAGGCTTCGCTTCAAGCACAGGGTATGATCGCTCGGGTGATGGTCTGGTCTATTGCTCGAGCCTGTTCCCCTTCTGCGTTGATTTTTGGCCTCGTGACTCGCCTCGCTATATATCGCTAGACAACAACGGTGACACGCCCTTGCACATCTGTGCGCGCAACGGCCATGAGCGCTGCGCCAAGGTTTGCATCTCATGATCACCTCGTCTCTGCCCATCGGCTTCATCGTCACTGCTTGGCCAAGCATTGGATTGCTGGCACCTTTGTTGCTCTCACACTCCTTGAACATGTTTGGGTGCACCTTCCGCCTTAGGCGGTCATGTGGCATGACCCAGTGTCACTACGGATCAATCAACGCAACTACAAGGGTGATACGCCCCTGCATCTAGCTGCGCGATTCGGTTACGATGAGTAAGCCCTGCATGCCTCGACCATTTGCAACGTCATATTTTGAGGCCACGCATCGCTGTCTCACCCAAGGCTTGGTACAACAGGTTGGTAAAGCAGTTGTTGTTGCAAGGTGCCAACATTGCCGTTCGCAACAACCGCAACCAAACCCCTGTGCAGGTGGCCCAATCACCAGTACGTTGCTGGCCTGCGGCTTGTGTTGCCACCCAACCTCCGGTTTGCCATGCTTGGCCCGCTGACGGGGCGCTTATGGTCTGCAGCAAATCACAAGAGAACTGTTGGGATCAGTGGAAAGCCTGTCACGAAGCGGCTCACTGGTGGCGAGCCAATCGGGTAGCGCCATGCGGGCGCGGGCCCTTTCTGCAAAGCAACCGCAGTCGCCCACCAAAACTGTCACGTTTCCATCCTTAAATGTAGCAGAGTGCGTACACGTGATTGGTTAGCGATGTGCCTTGGGGAGCCGACTAAACTCAGCTCACGCATCCGCTCTACCTTTGTTCATGTCTTGCGCAGCCGACGGGACTCGCTTGATACCCACCAGCGCAAGGCTCGTCAACGGCTGTCACGGTCCGATTTATCTGGCGTTCACGACGAGGATCCCATCACATCTCCCGTGCTAGCGTCGGAGCGACAGCTTGAGCTTCTGTTTGAGGCCATTACCGAGGACGACCTACAGTTGCTCAAGTATCGGCTAGGCTTTACCGAGCATCGGCGTCCGGCTGGTCATGATCCGCTGTGCCAGTGCTCTCAGTGTGAGCGTCGTGTGCAGACGCCATTGTCCGTCGATGCCTGCAATACGGAGGGTTATGCGCTCCTGCATTGTGCATGCCAGCAGGGCCGCTACGACCTAGCCGCTTGGCTGCTCAAGTGCGGTGCTCGTGTTCAGAACAAGACCAACTCGGGACATACGCCGCTGCATTTTGCTGCCCAGTACAATCACCTCACGGTGCGCAGTCACTTTTCAGACTTGATGCGGTTAATGTTTTGATGCCACGTCTCATGCTGAATAATTTGGTGTTTGGTAGCTGGTCGATTTGCTCTTGCAAAACGACGCCAATCCCAACGTGCAGGATGCCAACGGTCATACGCCGCTGCACTCTGCATCATCCAATGGTCACACACAGTGTGTGGAGCGCTTGCTGGAGTACGGAGCAAATCCTTCTCTGCAGGTCAGCAATATCGTTTGTGCATCGCTTTGAATGGTGCTGTGCTGCCAATGCTGCCAATGCTGCCAATGCTGGACACTGTCGCCAGCTCGTATTGACGTCGCGTTCACAAATGGGTTGGTAACGTGTTTGCGTTGACTAGTCGGCCCGAGGCAACAGTGCCCTGCATTTAGCGGCCAAATGGTCCTATGCGGACATTGTGCGTTTGCTGCTGCAACACAATGCCAATGTTGAGCTCATCAACAACCACGGCAAAACGGCACGGCAAGAGGCTCGCAGCCGCGCCATTCAACGCCTTCTCGACGCCCGCATTGCCGGCATTGACCTCAGCATGCCTTCCGGTACGATCAAGTGGATGGTGCGACCCCCAGTCAAGGGCTCGTTGCGCTCCTTCTCACGAGGATTTGGCATGGATAGAATTGGTTTTGCGTGGGCTGCCGTCGCCCTTGGAAGACTTTTGCGGGCGATATCACCAGGCCCGTGCACTCTTACCGGAACGCATGCCGCCTTGGTATTGCCTCAACACATTTCTGCTTGTGCGTCAAGCTCACTGTGCCATTTCTTGTGCATCATGTCGGCGCAGATTGGCGAGCTGCCGCTGAACTGGACTTCTGGTGTTTTGCATGGGCCCATGACCAATCTCACCGAAGTGCGCCCTCTTTTTCAGTGGAGCGCAAGTCTCCCTGATTGTCCCAACCACGTTGTGGAGGCCTACATTTTTCACAATCCCGATCACAAGGTGAGCAGTTCTTTGTCGAGCCGCCCATCTTCGGCCGATAGAGCCCAGCGTGATTGTTCATGTCATGGTGAACTCGTGTAGGCTTGGTGCTTGGGCCGCAGTGTGGGTCATGTCTATCTTGCCAAATGTCCGGGTGATGAACTTCATCCGCTTTTGCTGAGTGGGCCGTGGTCAATTCAGCCCGATGGCAGAGCGGAGACTGTCTGCAGTGATGTGACACTGGATGCAGGTCGGTTCTTCTCGTTCATTCACTCTTGGCAACCATTAAATGAGAAGAAAGAGCAAGTTTTGCTTTTTTTTTTCTGCCTTTGCATCTTTGGCTCGGTGTCGCTTTTGGTTTGGGTTTTGGCTGCGATGTGCCAGGCTGCGTTCAAACTCACCGGCTTTTGTCAATTGTTGGGCATGCAGTCAATCCAAGCGAAGCAGAGAGCTTGCAAGAGTATGTTGCTGTGCGGGGTGCAGTCGTGGGAATTGAGCTGGGCTTCGGGTACTCATTGAATTTTTGTGGCTGTGTCAGCTTGGATGTGTCAGCTCGCTCTGCACAACATATATTCTCGGCGTTTGAATCGTCCAGCCAGAGCATGTGGCAGGTATGTCGGGCTTGAGTATTTCAATGCTTCCACAGAGGCATTTGCTAATGCGCTGCATGTGTTTGTGGTGCATGGTATCAGAGTGTCTTGCAGGAACTGGGTCAAATTTCGGCCCACGAGCTATTGCGCCATCCTTCTGAGGACCAGATCCGTGATCGATCTGCTCCCTTGCTTGTGGCCCCCCCCGTGCCAACTGGCGAGGTGGCATCTTATTAAAGAAATAATAAACACTATGGTATCTTCATGTGTGTATGCGTGCGTGTACGTGCGCGGAAGGGGGTTAGGTAGAGAAAATGTGCCTGATATTTTGAGGTACAACAACGGGCCAATCAATCGATCAACGGGATTTGACAGAGCTCAATTGTGCAGGGGGAGCATGAGTTTGCAGTGTTGGTACTGTCAATCAAAGCCTATGACACAGGGTCCTCTTTACTACGTTTTGCACTGGGCTGGGCACCGCGATCTGCGCTGGCCAAGGCCGCTGCCACGGCCGCCATGGCATCTCGCTGTTCAGCCTCTGTCATTTCGGCGCTCTCGGCCGATGATGCCTGTGTAGCCTCATTGGGGTGAGCATAAGACCCTTGCTGTTGTTGCTGGTAAAAGTAGGCGGCCATGCCAGGCGGGTACGCGTGTTGCTGTGGGTAGCCTGGGTGTTGGGGCAAGCCGCTGGTGCTGATGGCGGCGGTGGGTGTGGCAGTTGCGTCCGTAGTAGCTGGGGTTGCAGTGGAGGCGGTGGCCGGAGTGGCTTCGGTGCTGGCTGCAGTGCTGGCTGCAGGGGCTTCCTGCCCAATGCTTTGGTAGAAGGTGGCCACTTCTTCTTGGTCGGGAACATGACCTTGTTTGCAACGCTGAGCCTGGTTGGCGTAGTACGTGGCCCACGAGTTCCAAGACGCGGCTGCTTGATTCTGCTCCTCAGCTGCGGCCGTGTTCATTTGAGCCTGCACGGCTTGGTCAGCAGCATGCTGAGCGTAATTTTCATAGGTAGCGGCCCACTGCATGGCAAGCGCTTCGCGTTGCCGGGACTGTTCGAGAAGTGCCTGCGGATCTGTCCCTTCGGGCAGCGCGAGGGTAGGGCCCTGCGCAGCGGCGTCTTGTTCATGAGCCAGCTTGTTTTCTATTGCATTGATAAGCTGCTGGCGGGCCTCTTCCATTTGTTTGTTGTAGGCGGATGCATTGGGATCTTCACTGGCCCAACGAATGTTGATAACCTACAGAGTAGGTGGTTGCGGGGAAGCGGAGTCGAAAGCAAGCGGGTGACGTGAATGAGCGCAAGAGCCGGTGCGGGGAGAGCCGGGCTTGAGCAATGACACGTACGTCACGGCCGGACACGGCCTGTTGTGCCATGGCCACCTTGGCAAATTCGGCGGCGGTGCGAAGGTGATAACGGACAAAGGCAAAACCGCGATCGGGAAAGCAGCGCACTGGAAAGTGGAACGGCCAAGGAGGAATGGTGGTGAGTCGTGAGGCTGCGCGCAGTAGATGGCAACGGGTACACATGAATGTGCGTGGAGCAGAGACGGGCATTGCCAGTTGGGGGTTCGGACCGTCATCAAGTTCGCCCCACTCGCCAAAATGCTTGCGGATGTTTTCCTGCAAATGGGACATGGTGATGGGATCACGAAGACAACAAGTGAGGGTTGGTCTGCGGTTGACCGTCCAAGGCGGCAAGAGGACAGAAGAGCGTGTGTGGTGGAAAGAAGATGAAGAAGAAGAAGAAGAAGAGAAGAGGAAAACAACAACGGCGTCAAGTACCGGTGTGTTGCCGGCTCGTCCGACGCGACCGATGTAGAGGGTGCGCTGAACTTGGGGGGTGGCACTGAAAGAGCCGACGCCGCCGCGATCATCACGGTTGGTTTCGTGGCGATCACGCCCAAAGCAGTCGCGGCTGACGGGAATGTCCTGGATACCACGGAGCATATCATATGGTGGGCGTGACAGTGAGCAAGGGTGCGCGGGTGCGAGGGTGCGGGGGTCGGCGCTCTGAAACCAGAGCATGATATAGAGGGGAACGACACCTTTTCAAATTCCTCCGAGGGAATGTCGTGTAAGAAGCTACACTTTTCACCGAGATGACAGCAGCCTCGGGCAAAGCGATAGCAAAGGTAAGCTTGGGAGTTGTTGGAGCCGCGTGTCCGGCCTGCGTCCTTGGCGGAATCACTATAATCAGTGGAAAAGGTTGCGTGTGAGGCCAAGGAGCGGGAATCATGACGCTGGTGGCGGCGGTGGCGATAAAGGGTCTGGGGCAGGGCATCTCACCAGCGCGTTTCAGCTGGACCACGATCGCTGATCCAAGTTGAGGGCACATCAAAGCAGTCAGGGGCATGTGAGCTGGCTGATGCAAAGGCGGGCATCATCATGCGGAGGGGGTTGGGCCACGTACACTTGTCGGTGGCGACCTTCAGAAAAGTCACGGTTGTACCAGATGTTGTAATTACCACCGGTCGTGTGCTCGGCACTCATATACTGCCGCCCCGTGTCCTCCACCTGTACCCGAGCTGGTCGTTTCCGCCAGGCCTCTTGCAGCTTCTTCCGCTCAAACCGCTGGCGCGCCAGCGCATGCACCGCCTCGGCCATGGTTAAGGAAGGAGGAGGGTAAGTTGAGAAAAGAGGAGGGTAAGTTGAGAAAAGAGGAGGTAAGTTGAGAAAAGAGGAGGTAAGTTGAGAAAAGAGGAGGTAAGTTGAGAAAAGAGGAAGGTAAGTTGAGAAAAGGGGAAGGTAAGGAGAAAAGGGGAAGGTAAGGAGAAAAGGGTAAGTTGAGTTGAGAAAAAAGGAGAGAGAGTATTAAATTTTAGAGAAAGAATAGAGAGAGATAGGATGAAAAACAGCACACAGAGGGATGAGAGGAATGAGAGAGAGAGGAATGAGAGAGAGGAATGAGAGAGAGGAATGAGAGAGAAATATGAATTGGTTTGGTCGGTTTGAGAAAGAGAGAATGATCATGATGCGCATTGAAGATGAGAGAGTCCTGAGAGAGGAATGAGAGAGAGAAATGAGAGAGAGAGAGAGAGGGATTGAGAGAGGAGAGAGAGACAGACAGAGAGTTCGAGAGGACAGTGACTGACATGTGAGAATGAATGCAATGATAAAGTGAAAATACCACACTTTGACGAACATCTGCACTGCACTTACATCCGGATGTACTTGTAGTGGCTAACATAACTTGATAGGGGGCTAAAATACCACATCAGATTTGTCAAAAAAGGAAAAGGGGTAAAATACCACGCGTGGAAAGAAGTAGTGTGGATCCACTCATGCTGACTCTGTCTGACATCACTCCCCACACACACACACACAAAACCCACAGGATAACGCTTTGAATTCCCACACACCCACACACACGTGTCGCTCTGCACCGTTTGGCCTTTGGGACGTCGACGGGACGTGTCTCTGCACACTTTTTGTACTTTGTGAAGCGTCTCTGTGATGCTCTGACACTATCTACTATTCTCTTCTTAAGCACATTGAATTTAGAAAACCTCTGTAAAGAGCTAGAGAAGCCATAGACAAAGTTTCACGTTAAAGAGCATCTCTCTGACATGAACGCCATCTACCAGTCTCCCTCTGAAAACTCCGTTCGCCGCACAATACCTCTCTCGCCCTAAACACTCATTCACACACTCTCTCTTCGCCGGTTTCGGCTCTCTCTCTCTGGCAGCGCCGAGCACACTTTCCGACTCGCCGCGCACTGCGCCTCGATCAACTGTTGTCCCCGTGAATGCATTCCTAGGGCTGAGTTGGCGTGCGCTGGAGAGCGTGTGGTCCCGTTGGATCACGGTAGGCACGGGTACGGGCACGCGGGTACGGGCACTCGGCGTTGGAGTAGTGGCAGCAGCCAAGCACGTTTTGCCAGCTGCCGCTCCGCTGTCTCGCCCCCGCCTCCCCGCGCTTCGCCGGGATGGCGTCCAACGACAATGAACAGGCTCCGCCGAGCCAGAACGACGGGCAACAGGACACACCGGCTGGAAACAATCTCCGCCGTCGCGTTCTGACCGTGGATGGCGAGGTCAAATACGATGAGCCCCCCTTTAAGCACGCCAATCGCGATGTCATCACCGAAGCCTCCTTCGTCAGCTACATGCTTTACGCCTGGTGCCAGCCCCTCGTCTCCTATGGCCGCCGCATCCTCTTTACTGCTGACGATGTCTTTGCCCTCCCCGATGAGCAAAACCCAGAGGTAAGCCACCTCCGCCCTTTTGAACCTCAAACCTGTTTCGGTCCATTCGAGCGCCAAATTTCTCCCTTTTGATCGCGTTTGGTGCCTGAAGAATTCGTCAATTCCTTAAGCTCTTGCCCCGTCCCCGATATAATCCGTCTTTGCATCTCTGCCCCCCCTCTCTAATAGACCGCCTCCCGTCGCTTTGACGAAGCATGGAGTCAGGAATTGGAGAAATATGGCCCCGTACGTCCCCTCAACCACGCCCCTCAGAGACCGTCCCTGGTTCTTCCGCCTGCCCACCCCCTTTGTTTCCCAGGGCGAGGTCCCGCGCCTGACCAGCTGCATCTTCTCACACCCTTTTGCTCGTCTTCCCCGTTTCTTTCTCTGCCATTGGTGCAACAGGCCGACGCCTCCATTCCACGCGTGCTCTTCCGCTGCTACAAAAAATCCATGTTGACTGCCATTTTCGTCGCCACCCTCTTCATTATCGTCTCCCTCTTCAGCCCCCTCTATGTCCTCAATCTCCTCATCCGCTACCTCCAAGACAACGGCGCCTACACCGACTCGGTCGGCTACGGCATCGGGCTGGCCTTTTCCCTCGCCGCCTGCGAAATTCTGCGGTACGACCCGGAATCGCATCCATTCTAGTGTCCCGCCTGTCCTCCCTGGTTCCGAGCCGACGTTGCCGGCTCACGCTTCCGCACGACCCCCCCCCCCACCCCCACCCGTAGCTCTCTCTGCGTCAACATGTACTGGTTCTCGGCCTCTCGCTATGCCGTTTCCTTTCGAGCCATCATCTTCTGTGCGTCAGCCCTTGACCCCCTTTTGTTCGCCTGTCCCAATGAAGTTGCGGTTTTCCACTTGCATACCCGTATGCCCTCATATCGACTGATCATCCTCCCAGGTGCTGTGTATCGCAAGTCCCTGCGTCTGCGCGATCTCGGCCGCTATTCGGTCGGCGAACTCGTCAACATTTGCAGCAACGACAGCCAGCGAGTGCATGATGCCGCCGTCTTCTCGGCCTTTATCTATATTGCCCTCGTCACTGGCCTAGCCGTCATGGTCTCCAGGTCAGAATATCCTTCTCCTGCACCGACAGACATGCCGCACACCATACTATTGCCATTCCTCTCATGCCTCCGCCCACTCGCATCGATGATGCCTATCCAGCTCCCTTGTGCTGGGTCCCGCTGCCTTGGCCCGTGTTTTTGTTTTCTTCCTGATGATTCCCATTCAAGTGGTGTTTGCCAAGCAAACCGGTCAATTGCGTCGCAAGGCCATGACCTTCACAGATGCTCGCGTGGCCCTCATGAATGAAATCTTGTCCTGCATCAAGGTCCGACCTCCGTCCTTGCCGCCATGCAATTTGCATCGTACATGCCGCTGACTTACTGCTGTTATTGCATTGGCACTCATGTTTTCTTCTCGGCGGCGCCCGCTTTTCCACTCTTGTCCACAGCTCATCAAAATGTATGCATGGGAGGGCTCTTTCTCCCATAAAGTTGACGATCTGCGTGAATCCGAGGCTACCTACCTCCGTCGCGCCGCCATGTGGCAGAGCATCACCGTCTCCCTTGTGCCCGTCATGCCCGCCGTGGCAGCGCTTGTCACCTTTCTGATTCAGGCTTATACCGAGGGCACGCTCAAACCCGATGAGGTACGTGTACTTGCGGACCATTTCAATCGCCTTGCATGCTCCCGTGTTGGGTGTCTGCGTCACATGCGCCATGGCCACCCTCCTGATTCACGTCGCTGCTTTCCGCCACCAGGTGTACACCGTGCAAGCCCTCTTCAACGTCCTGCGCTTCTCCTTGGCCGTTTTGCCCATGGTGTGTCCATCGCCTCTGCCTTTGTATGCTGCTTGGAACCCACGACGACGCCCGGTCGTCCGGCTCATGCTATGACACTGCAGGGCGTGAAAGCGGCAGCCGAGGCCAAGCAGGGCGTCAAACGTCTCAAGAAGTTTTTGCTCCAAAACAACGAACGCATCCCCTTGCAGCCCCCTCGTATGTTTCTGGTCGCCCCTTGTTTTATAGCTGCCAATGCAGCCGTGTGCGAATGTGTTGTGGCTCACGGACACTGCCATTTGGGCGGGGGCTGCCCCATAGCACGCGACGATCTGGCCATCGAGTTTGTAACGGCAGATATTGCATGGCCTGGATTGCCGCCCAAGCCCAAGTCAAAGGCCGCCGCTGCCCTTGAGCGGAAAAACTCCAAGCGTGCATCGCGAAAGGCGAGTTACCGCGCCGGTGAGGCGGCCATTGCAACCGATGCGAGCCCAGAAGAAGATCTGCTCCCTCGGACACGATTGCGCCCAAGAACCTCCCCATCATTTTGCGTCAAGTCGACTTTCGCATCAAGCACGGCGAACTTGTGGGCTGCTGTGGAGCTGTGGGGGCGGGTAAATCCACCCTTTTGGCCACGCTGCTTGCCGAAACGCTCGTGATGAACGACGTTGGTCGTGCCCACATTGACGGCGACGTGGCCTACGTCAGCCAGCAGGCATGGATCCAATCCTCGACCCTACGGGATAATATCCTCTTTGGCTTACCCTTCAATGAACGACTCTACCGTAACGTGGTCTTTGCCGCAGGGCTCGAGGCTGATTTCCGCCAGCTCTCGGCGGGTGACCTGACCTTTATTGGCGAACGCGGGCTTAACCTGTCTGGTGGGCAGAAGCAGCGAGTCAGCCTGGCTCGGGCGCTCTATGCCAACCAGGACGTGTACTTGCTTGATGATCCCCTCAGCGCCGTCGACGTGCACGTGGGTGAGCACATTTTTGAGTACGCCATTTGCGAAACGCTCGCCGAAAAAACTGTGCTTTTTGTCACGCATCAGCTGCAGCACCTGAGTCGCTGCGATCGCGTACTCTTTCTGCACGGGGGACGTGTGCACATGGGTACCTACCGCCAGCTCATGAACACGAACCGAGACTTTGCCAGCCTGGTGGAGCATCACATGCGCCAGGTGACTGATTCTGACGGTCAAGCTAACCATGGTTCCAGAAATGCCCGCCACGGCACGGTTACAACGGAAACGTCCGACTTCACGATCAACCTGCAGGATGAGCCTGTGGCCCGCCGTCGTGAAAGCCTGGGTGTGTCCCCTGCGCATCACAGGGGTAGCCGTCATTCCGTTCATGACCTAGACCACGAGGAGCGCTTGCGTCCCGATCCCAATCTTCGCCTGGGTGACCCTGAAAGTCTCGGCACCAAACTGCTGCAAGAAGAAGACACGGGCCGTGGCTCCGTTGGGGGGCGCACGGTTGCGGACTACTTTCGCGCAGCCGGTGGCATCTGGCTCTTTTCCTTCATCATCTTTCTCTTCTTTGTTGCCATGTTTGCACGCACCTTCAGTGATTACTATCTCAGCTACTGGATCCGTCGTGTAAGTGGCAGCCGCTCTTGGAAGCGCTTGGAATTGGCACGCCCATTTCTGGACTTGATGCCATCGTAGGGCATTTCTTTGACTCATCGCTTTTGCTTTCATGGGGTGTACAGGGTGATGGAACCAGCACGACGGGCAGTGTTGCAGACAATCCCCATTTGGACACATATGCACTGGTTTTTGGTATGACCGTGGCGGCATTGCTGGTCTTCCAAGTGAGTCATGTGCTTGTTGCTCCATGCTGTCAGTGTTGTCTTGCTGTGAGAAAGCACTGCTCACTTTTACGGTGTATAGGTTGTCCGTGGCTACATGTACTGCCGGCAAACCATTCGCGCTGCCAGCGCCATGCACGGATCGCTCTTTCGCGCCGTTGTGTGTGCCCCCATGTCCTTTTTTGATACAACTCCCACCGGTCGCCTCCTGAATCGCTTCAGCAAGGATATGGATGAAGTTGATACGGTTCGTTTTTTTCTCTGCTGCATCCAGACCCCACCCTGCAACAACTACTCATTCTTCGTTGGTTTGCACCGTTTGCCGTCCTTGTTGTACTGCAGCGCTTGCCTTTTCTGGGCGAGCAATTCACGCAGAATGTGGCGCAAATCGTGTTGATGCTCGTATTGATTGCCTATGTCTTCCCGTGGTTCTTGATTGCCTTGGTACCCATTTTTACTTTCTTCTTCTGGCTCGTGCGCTATTTTCGCCCGACGCAACGTCACATCAAGCGCCTGGATAACGTTAGCCGAAGCCCCCTTTTCTCCCATCTTTCTGCAACGCTCCAAGGCCTGAGCACCATTGCAGCCTTTCGCAAGCAGGACGACTTTTACAACGAATTTGTCACACGCCTCACCACTAATTCCAAGTTTGTAGCCAAGCCTTTGTTTTGTTTTCGCTCGCGCTTGATGCTTCCCTCTGGCACCACCAAACACGGCAGAACTCAAGTGCGTTTTGAGCTGCGTCGCAGATCGTTTTTTGGATTCTACTATTGCTCGCGTTGGTTCGCTCTGCGGCTGGATATCACCACTACCTTGATTGTCTTGGCGACGGCCATTACAAGCGTTGTTTTACGCGACGAGATCAACCCGGCCCAGGCCGCCCTCAGCATTACATATGCTCTTTCCATGGCTGGTACGACTTTGCACAAAGGTGAAAAGCAATGCCCCTGTGACGACTCATGTCTTGAGTTGTTTTTTTGCTTGCCACAATTGCATTTGCTTTTTTTTTTTTTTCTCTCCATCTAGGCATGTTTCAGTACACCACGCGTCTTAGTGCCGAGGTCGAGGGCCGATTTAATTCTGTGGAACGCCTGCAACAGACGATCAAAAGCACTCCGCACGAGGACTTTTCCGGCGTTGATCCCCCCACCAACTGGCCGGAAGAGGGCCAGGTTGAGTTTTGCGACGTGTCTGCACGCTATCGTGCAGGTCTCGAGACGGTCCTCAAGTCCATCTCTTTCAGGTATGTGCAGGTGCACGTGTGTCAGATCCGTTTGCCTCAGGGTTGCTCACTAGCTTGACCTTTCGACGTGCTACATAGCGTGGCGCCGCAACAGCACGTGGGCATCGTGGGCCGCACTGGTACGGGTGTTTCGTCTTGCTTCTTCTCAAAAAGGATTGCTCCATATTTGACCAGGCCTTTTCTCATCCTGCTGGGCATGATCGCAATAGGGGCGGGCAAGTCATCGCTGACGCAGGTGCTATATCGCCTTTTGGAGCTCGAGGCGGGCCAGATTCTAATTGATGGCCTCGATATTTCCACCATCAAGTTGGACATGTTGCGCTCTCGCCTGAGCATCATCCCTCAGGTCCGCAATGCTCGCAAATCAACCCCCCTGTTTCGTTTGGACCTTTGGCCCATCGTTTTTGTGGCACGACACCTAATTTCTCACAACAGTCGTGGAACGCTTCATAATGCTGTTAGGAACCTGTTTTGTTTGTGGGCACGCTGCGCTACAACTTGGATCCCTTTGGCGTCTACGCGGACGAGCAAATTTGGACCGCGTTGGGTACGTACTGCAATGAAAGCACGCATCAAGTCTTAGCTTTGGCACACACGCACAGCAACAATCTGTTTTTCTCCCAATCTACCTTCATATCGTGTTTTGGGGGTTTTTTTACAGAGCGAGCGCATATGCGGGATGCCATTCGTCGTTTGCCCGAGAAGCTGGATGCGCCAGTTGTCGAAAACGGCAACAACTTTTCAGTCGGCGAGCGCCAGGTGAGCGGTGGCTGTCAAAATCACGCACAAGGGTGCAGGGCAATGTGTTATTGCGTGACCATCTCATTTTTTTTTTTTTTTTTGTGGGGTTCCTTATTTAAACAATGTTAAAGCTCTTGTGCATGGCTCGAGCGCTGCTGCGCAACTCGCGCATCTTGGTCCTGGACGAGGCCAGTAGTAGCACAGATAGCAAGACGGATAGCCTCCTCCAAGTAGGTCTTGTCGTTTTTAACTCGTCACATTGGCGGTCGTCGAATGATTAATAACTTGATTTTGCTTCATTTTCTTGCAAACAGACAACAATTCGCACTTCGTTTGCGGGCTGCACGGGTGAGTGCCCGTGTTTGTTTACGGTCTTTGCAGGCTGGTGTTTTTAGTTGAAAGCTGATCCCGTGCTTGGTGTTGTTTTAGTCTTGACGATCGCACATCGTCTGAACACGGTGATGGATTGCGACATGATCATGCTCATGGACCATGGTACGTACAAGCAACACTGCAACGGGACTTATCCGCCACCTGCCTGACAGGGAGGATATTTTTTTTCTTTGCCAAATAGGCCGAATTGTTGAGTACGACGATCCCGTGCTGCTGCTGCAAGACCCAGACACGCTTTTCCGGCGCATGGTCGAAGACAGTGGCATGTTTGTGAACGACGCCCTGCTAGATGGCATTGAGCGGTCGCAACGCGAGCGCCGTGCCCGGGCGTTGGACATTTTGAACAAGGATGACGTGGACAAGCGCAAGTACCGGCGGTCCACAATCGTTCAAGGCCTGCCGCTGCCTTCCGACATTAAGATGGCCCATGTTTAGGGTTAGGAATGTTTCAACTCGTCTTTATGTTCCTGAGATGTTTTCTCTTGCACCTGGCCATCGCGTCGTGCCAAGGAATAATACCGCACCAAAACTCTTGTTTGAATTGATTCGCACCATGGACAATGGCTTGTCAGAATGGAGCCTTCGGGACGGGCCAAGGAAGTGCAAGTGTGTGGATTTCGAGACAGGTAATGGGCCCACTCTTTGTAGTCGATTTAAAAGTCAATGGCTGACGTGGGGCAAAGGGAGGGCGTACAGCGCCTACTCCCAATCTTCAAAGCCACTCTGTCCCACATACTCGGAAACATCATCGAAGGTGCAAGCAGCAACATTACCATCCGCTAATTGGACCGTGACCAATTCTTGCTTGGAGTCGCGCTGGGTAGAGATTGGAAGAAGGTTGCACCAGAGCGAGCAGTGGTGAATTGCTTTCGAAGGAGTGCGATTGGGTCCGCAAGGGCGCGAGGTGATCTTACTTCCAGAATGCGCGCACGTTGGCCTGCAAACTCTCCCCGTAGCACCATGACAGGTGCCTTGGGCTGACGCGGCACGATTGTTTCCAGCTCACTGTCGTAAAGGTCTGATTTTGGCGCAATGAGATGAAGGATGCGCGCGCGTGCACGTCCCCAACCAGGGGTGTTGGAGGAACGATATCGAAAGTCTTACCTTCGAGGAGGCGTCCCTCTGTAGAAACGGTGATTTGATCGCGGGCCAGCACATCCATGACGACGGCCTTGACGTTATAATACTTGCCCTTTTTGTACTTTTGACTGACGATCCGCACCCGAATATCTGGCACCACCCACGTCTGCCCAAGGAAAGCAGACGAAGGAACAAGCGAGGGCGTGAGAATCGCGATGCCTGAGAGTCAAGCAATCGGTTTGTGTCCGAGCGGCCACTGTGGACACGTGGGAAATTGAGAATGTATGGAGGGAAGGGAACAAGGTCTTACGTGACGGCTGGAACGGTGGCGGGAAGAGGTTTTTGAAGCCTTGGCGGGGGGCTCGCTACTCTGACGAGGGCTCGTGTCGTTCTTGCGAGAGCCATCACGACCTGATTTGGAGGAGCTAGTGGGGGGGAGTTCAATGCCAGCACGGGCAAGGGCCTCGCGCGGCGAGTAGCCCTTGTCGATGGCAGCCCATACGGTGCGCGCTTGGGCACGGGGCAAAACGTTGACGGCGCTTTCATCGCAAGCCACGACAGTGTCACTGCTGGCTAAGCGAACGTCGACCATAAGATTGTACATGCGGGTGATGGTTCCAACCTGACCACGATGGGGGCCTTGGACAATGTGAACGCGGCGGTCGCGCTTGACGGTGAGGTCCTCCTTCTCGTACAAGGTCTCGGATACACCGCGGATGTGGCGGACCTTGCCACTGGCATCGACTTTGCCGGCAAGCTGCGCGACTTCTCGATGCGTCTCGCCGGGTTTATTGATGGCTTTGCGTTGGTATCGGTGATCGGGTTTGAGGGACAGGTCCCGGGTGGCGCCGAGGCCCAGGCCAGAGGGTCGGGGCACAAACTCTATCGGTTCAACGAGGCCCTTGTTTGTACCGCCGATGGCCTCGCCCTTTTGCCAACCCATGCCGCGCAGCATAGCCGTGCCGAATTGCTCAATGGGCACACGATCATACTCTTGGAGGGAGAGCTCGGCCGGGCGGAGTTGCATGTCGCGCTTGAACTTTTCCGCATCATCAAGGCGTTCGGTGCCCGGGGCACGATTTTGCATGAGAAGCGGGATGGCGTCAATGTCTGCGGGCGTCTCACCCTGCTGCACGTTGTCGGCGTCAGCCTGCAACGCCGCCAAAGCCCGCTGGTCATCGTCATTCACGTCGGTGGCAGCCTTGCCAACGCCGGCCTTGGGTTCCTCGTCGCCCTCGACCCCGGTCCCCGCCCCGGTCTCGGCGTCCCCCGTGCGCCATTGATTCACCTTGAGCAAGGGGATGATCACCTCCTTGGGCGCCTCACGCGGCTGTGCCAGCGTAGCGCCAGCACGCGTAAACTCGGTAATGGCATCGCCCTGTGCTTTCTGGTGGTCGGCATCCTCTGTCTCCTCCGTTTCCCCCAACCCAGCCACCGCCTGCTTGGGCCGCGAGGGCTTGCTCTTGGCAAACCCAAACGACACCTTCACCCCCTCACCCGCCGCCGCCGCCCCCTCCATCTCGTGTGTGTGAGAGAGAGAGAGAGAGAAAGTGAGAGAGAGGGAGTTTGAGAGAGAGAGTGAGAGAAAGTGAGAGGGAGAGAGTTTGTGAGAGCGAGTTTGAGAGTTTGAGAGAGAGTTAGAGTTTGAGAGAGAGTTTGAGAGAGTTTGAGAGAGAGTTTGAGAGAGTTCGAGAGAGAGAGTTTGAGAGAGTTCGAGAGTGAGAGAGTTTGAGAGAGAGAGAAAGTGAGAGAGAGAGAGAGAGAGAGTTTGAGAGTTTAGAGAGAGAGAAACGGTCAACAACGTTTTTGTTCAAAATTTCAACGTACGTCCTCGTCTGTGTGTGTGTGTGTGTGTGTGTGTGTGTGTGTGTGTGTGTGTGTGTGTGCTCGGATGCGTGTCTGGTGCCCGTGTGTCTGGTGCCCGTGTGTCTGGTGCCCGTGTGTCTGGTGCCCGTGTGTCTGGTGCCCGTGTGTCTGTGGTCGTGTGCGTGTATCTGTGTGTGTGCCCGTGTGTGTGTGTGTGTGCTGTGCCCGTGCCCGTGTGTGTGTGCGTGCGTGTGTGTGTGTGTGTCGTTGCATTTACATTTAGTGAGAGACTGAGTGACCGACTGAGTGACCATGGACTGACGGACGGACTGACGTGGGGTTCTTACACCAGGATCGACTGACACTGTCATTGCTGCCTGCTGCTGCGGCTCTCAGGTGGTGCTACAACTGCCCGTGATAACTCAAGTTGTATTTGTTGGCTGCCACTGCCACACTGCCACACTGCCACACTGCCACACTGCCACACTGCCACACTGCCACGACGGCTCCCATCTGCTCTCATCAACAACTGGTGTACGACGAGCGCAGACGTCGACATTGGTGACATCAGCGATAGTGCTTATGAATACAGGTACCGCCGTGCCATCGTGAGGCTCCACTCTGCTCAATGCAGCTGTCGTTGCACGGCGAGCTGCGTAGACTCGCTGCGTCGAGTCGCTGCGTAGACTCGCTGCGTAGATTCGCTGCGTAGACTCGCTGCGTAGACTCGCTGCGTAGACTCGCTGCGTCGAGTCGCTGCGTCGAGTCGCTGCGTCGAGTCGCTGCGTAGACTCGCTGCGTAGACTCGCTGCGTAGACTCGCTGCAGTGCACCGAGGCTCACTTCGAATGATTGTGCGCCCTCGACATCTCTGCTCGGTTTACTGCCGTCTTTGGACAAGGCATGAGCCGACCTGGATAGAGACGCGTGGTCAAGCCCGTGGTAGGGAGGCACGGCATGGCGACACCCAACGGCTGGTGGTCACCGTTTGCTGCTGACCCATCGTCTGGATCATATGGGGCCAGTGTCCCGCAGCCTGGCGCCTCCACTACTCCCGCTCCCATCCCTCATCGCTGGGACCCCAGCTCGGTACCCTCTCAAGGGCATCCACCGTCCCTCCCCACCCTCACTGCTCACCAAGCCAGGGCCAGCCACACGCCTTATGCCGAGGCTAAGCGTGCCGCTGACCATGGCGACGCCTCGGACTGGGGCGCGCCGAGAACCAAAAGGTGAGCACCCCTGCTTCCATGCAGCCACATAGCTGTCTTGCGCTGCCGACCGGCATGGCGCCGATCGCCCGATCTTGTTCTTACCCGTTGGTCGACACCTAGATGGCGAGAAGTGGATGTAGACTCCCCGACACAGTCACCCGTCATTGCTGGGTCACCTTGGGTTCGTCACCCGTCTCTATCCACGCTTGCGCCGTAGCCGTGTCTCATTTCGCCCCCCGCCCCCCCCCCGTCTTCTTGTTTTGGCTCGCTTGCGTCGCGCAGTTTGACCCGCGGCTTGTGATGAGTCCCGACTCTCAAGCGCATGGCTATCGACCCACAGCCGTGCAAGAAGCTTTTGCTTTACGAGCCGCTGCATTTCGCCGACGCCAGGCCACGCTGCAGCAACACCCTGCAGCTCATCCATCCACCGCGACGGCGTACCACTCCAACAGTGCTCTGCGCCCGAGAGAGAGCTCGCCCCTCGCCCCTCAGGTCGGAGCCCACGATGTGGCCATGTCCAGCGCGCCACAGCCCTCGCAGACACCAACAGATCCAGCCCAACTCTTGCGGCGTCTTAACATGAAACGCCCTCATGGCTGATGCCCATGCTGACTTTCTGCCCGCCTGTGCCCCTATCTCAATGCGCTGCGCGCACTTGCCGCCTGATTCGATTCAACACCAACGTCTTCTGAAGAGATTGCACGTCACGGTCGTGTCATGTTGTTCCCAGAGCATTCTCAGCAACATTATTCTTATTATTCATCCTCAATTCACACAACGCCATTCACCCATGAGGAGTGGAAACAAACATCAGAAGGGGGGAGTCTAGCAGGTCACAAGTGAGAAGCACACGATCAAGAGGGGTCAGGTTGAATGTTGCTCCAAAGCTCAACAACTCTCGACAGCTACACGGGCAAATCAAGAAGCACAACCAAAGGGAGCCTGACCACACAGTTTGCACAACCTTCAACTCGATAGATGAAATGGAGCAATGGCACACACAAGCTCGGCCCGGTGCACCAATCTAAACCGCTGCAGGGCCTTTGGAGGCCACATGCCCTTTTGCACACAAGGGTGCAACACAGAGACACAGGGCGGCTCCGCGAGGAAAGAGCAGGGCATTGAAAGCTGGTCATGACGTCCACACACACTGGGACGACGGGAAAGGCATTATCACAATGCAGTGTGCCGCAGCTGATCCACCAGATCTGCCCGGGGCTCCTGTGCCACAAGCAAAGTAATGGTCTCGCCCAGCTGGACCTTTTTCAAAAACTCGATGGCGCCCTCACGGCTAACCCCAATCAGACTATGCCCGTTCACCTCGAGAATTTCGTCACCTACAAGCAACCGTTGTGAGAGCCTTCAGGTTGAGGGGCCAAAACATAGGAAGACGGTCACAGGCAAAATGCGTTGACGACTGACCATCACGTAGCGTGCCGTCCACGTCGGCAGCCGAGCCCGGGACCAGGGACGTGACAAAGATACCCAGGACAAACTTGCCATCTCGCGTGCGCTTGGCGCCGCTGATGCCAAGACCCAAGCCCTTGTTGCCCTTGACCAGGTTGACGGTTACGAGCTTGTCGCGCGGATCAGTCCATGATGTTTGCCTCGTTTTGTGGTTGGCAAAGAACCGATGCTTGGTCTCTTGGTCGATGAGCTCCTCCCACTCATCCGGCAGCGGTGGCATGCCGTTCTCCGTCGAACCTGCCGTTGACGATGCACCATCTTCATGGGCAGCGGAATGACCATGGGAGCTCGGCGGCTGCTGGGGCGGGCCGGCTCGAGCATCCCCGGCCTTGTTTTGAACGGGGGTTGAGGTGAGGGGATTGTTGCCAGCTGCGGCGGAAAAGCCAAGCCTTTGTGTAGTGTCACCCACGGAAATTCCTTGGTCCTCGGCGCCTTCCTCATCATTGTTAGTTGATGGCATTGCCCGAGTAATGCGATCAACAACCTCGCGTAGCCTAGAACACCACGTCGGCATGCAAGCATCATCAGGCAAGATTGACAGCCTGCTTCAGGGGCATCCGCTCACGGGATGAAAGGAAAAAACAAAACTTTAAAAAACAAAGAGCAGCGCACTGCGACTCACAAATCTGGCGACATGTTTTGGTCAAGCTGGCGGTAGTAATCGATAATGACGGCACGTAGTTCGCTGCGATTTGTCCATGTGGCGGATTGAAGTTCTGGTGGAATTTGGCCACGGGTGGCACAGCGATCAATGCCTTCGAGGCAGTTGTCCACCGCTGCATCGAGGCGTTGTTTGGCGCTGTTCTCCAAAACACGGAACACGGCCGGGTCTTGCAGCAGCGCGCCCATGAGCTTCAAGGTGTTGCTTGCCCAAAAGAGCAGCATGTTGCTGCTGTCCGGGTGACGCTGCAAGAAGACAAGGAAAAAATAAAAAATAAAAAAGCAAGCAAGTAATGAGAGGTCCAGGAAAAAGCAAAACAGAAAAACAAACTTGGAGAGTATAGAGATGGGGAGGCTCGAAGGAACCTGAAAGCGGGAACTGACCGTGACAACGCCGGTAATTTTCTCGGCAATTTTGTTCAAGAGTCCCTTGAGAGCGGCATTGCCCCGATGGATAGAGCTGTAAGCGATACACATTTGTAAGAGATAGGCGGGCGTCAGCTTGAAGCCAAGGCCTGAGCCACTTTGTCGAGTGATCATGACTTCCAGGAGCAGATCCTCGTCATCCGGGTGGTAAGGAAGCAAAGGACCAAGGGGGGAAGCCACGTCGTCGTCGGTTGAGGTCTCGCCTCCGATGCCCGTGAGGGCGAGGGAGGATCGACGGACGGCGGGGCCAGTTTGTCGATGCTCGCTTAGGGCATCGCCAGAGCGGGTGCTCGAGTTGTCACCAGAGCGGGCGGCAGCGTCGACATGCGAGTCGGGGCCCTTGTTGGAGGGGGCTTTGGACATGCGAACGAGGCCTGGGGAGAGCTTGCGAAAGACAAAGGTCGTTTCGGCCGGATCCATGAGGGTGATGGCGACGGAGATGGGGGACTGGTCATCAGCCAGCATGTTATGTTCACCCGTGTCTCGCGTGTCAAAGACGGCATAAGATTCGAGGTCAATCTCGCCCAGGTTGAATTTCTCGGCCAAGAGGTGGACGAGTTCGTCGCCGCACACAAAGTTGGTGAGACGAACCACTTTGACAATGGCTCGGGCGGTAGCGTCAGCTTGGCAGTGGACCTTGAGCGGACCACTGATTTTGCCGTCCTGTGTCATTTCGAGTTGGTGGATGCGCTGGCTGCTGGCATTCCAGAAGCGGACGGCAAGTTCCTTGTCTTCATGTGAGATGGTGTCAAAGGGTTGTTGACGAAGGGCCATGACCTTGTCGCGGCGTTGGGCGTTGGTCGCCATTGTTCGAGCGGTGGCAAAGGCCAGGGTGGTGGCGTCTGTGTCTGACTTGCACTTGAAGACAAAGCTGCGGCGAGGCGAGAGGGGGAGGAGGAGGGTGAGAAAAGCGGTTGGGTATAAAAGAGAGATATGCGAGGGTGTTTGGGTGATGCAGCAAAGGCAAAGGCGCAAGACGGGGACCAGGGCGGGAAGGGGGCGTGGGGGGTAAGATTTTAGGAAAGCGAGCGCACCAAGTATAGGTGGCATGAGGGCCGCCGATGCGGGTGCCTTCATCGCTGGCCACAAAGGTGAACATGTACTGCTTTTTGAGCGCGCCTTCGGTGTGGGCATTGACGTAGACAATTTTGCCGATGGGTTGGTAGACGGGGGAGCCGCCGTTGATGGGCTCACCGCACAGGGCTTCAGGGGTAACGAGGACCTTCATGGCGATGGCTTCCTTCCGCAGGCGGCGGGCCTCCTTGATGGCGACCAGCGTCTCCTCTTCCAGGTTTGGTTTGTGCCAGGGATCGTCAATGACAATGTTGGGGACGGGCACGCTGCCCACAAAGGTCGTGGGCCAATCCATGGCGAGCGCGGCCCCAGCGTGGTGCGCTGGGCAGTCAAGGGCACGGCAAGGACCAGTTGAAGGAAGACGGGTCTGGTTGGGCGTGGGCTAGTACGGCCAATGCCAGAGCCGTCGAGGCATAGGCAAGAAACGGTCGTGGCACTGCAACACGAGGTCAGCGAGCCAGCACTGCCACCCGCAAATGCCACAAGTCGGGAAGAATCCGACGAGCAAGGAAACCAGAAGCAGAAGCAGAAGAAGGAAGGAAGTAAGGAAGGAAGGAAGGAAGGAGCAGGAGGAGGGCAGGAAGATGGGGGAAGTAGAAAAAGGCAGTCCCGTGGCTTGTCGTGTACCGGGGTGCCAGCACCTCGGGCCTGACCCGTCTGAGGTGAGAGACCTGCAGGGAGCGCTCTTTCCGCGTGCACGAGAGGCGGCCCAAGCGGCGCCTCACACACTGTGAGGATGGGGCCGGAGGGGGGGAGTACGATAACCGTATCCCAACGACACCACGGCCACACGCAGGCACACAAGGTACAGCAGGTACCGCAGGTACAGCAGGGACGAAGAGGCGGCCGCACAGAGAGAGAGACGATTGATCAAAAGTCTCTCTCTCTCTCTCGCTCGCTCTCTCTCTCGCTCGGAAACGATTCAGCCGGAGACTGAGAGAGACAGGGAGACAGGGAGACAGCGAGACAGAGATGGAGATGGACACGGAGATGAACGCAGAGAGACGTTGGGGATGGATATACTGTGCTGCTTGAGAATTGAGGAAGAAGAAAAGAACGACGGAAATAGGGAGACAGAGTCAGAGAGTTGGAGGAAGAGATGAGGAGAGTCAGAGACAGAGGCAAGGTGAAATGCATGCAAGAGATCCTTAGAGAGAGAAACGTGAAGATGCATTCACGTAGAGAGAGGTATTGAGAGAGAGAGGAGGGATAGCGTCGCATGAATACAGCGAGGCAGGCGCGGCTAGACAGGATGATCGGGCGCGGGGTCGCTCGAAAGACCGATGGCAGCCGGCAGGGTCGGAGAGGAGCGCTGCCGAAGGAGCAGAGCGCCCGGTACGGGTTTGGCCGTCAGAGGTGTGGGCGAGCACGGGGGTCGGACGAAGAGAGGCGTGGGTCTAGAGGGATTGAGTCAGAGATGGGTGCTCATCATGCGGCTTCACAGCGTAATTCGGCTTGATATTTAAGCTTGAACAAGAGACATTGAGGTCAGGCTGGCTGAAACTTAGAGAGAACGAACGTCTTGCGCGAGGGCATAAGAGACGAGTGAATTGTCAGCCGTTTCAGCCGAAGAACAAAAGGAGCCGTACCAGAGGAAGACGTTGCTCGCCTGTGACGAGCCAGAGAGAGAAGCCAACGCAGAACGACACTCTACTATGAAAACAAGCTAAAACCAGAGAAGCCAATAAATCCTGCTCTCGACTCAGAGAACCAAACCGTGAGTTTCAATCCTCAAATTAACGCGCTCAAAGTGTGATAAGTGATACAGTGAACGTTGTGTAAAGTCTGACATATGTTACACCTGTTTGGTCTGCTCATGTAAGCGTGCTACACCTTTGAAATTTTTCGTTCGTCAGGGTCGCTTGCATTCGCAGGTCGTGAATTTGAATGCATTTCACCGTGAAAAGTGGTGCGTATTTGATTGAGAAATTGCGCTTTGCTGTGCGTGCATGCATGTGATGGGGGGCGCGGGGGGGTGGTGTCACACAAGCGTGTTGTTGCCGTCGTGTCTGGGACACTCAAAACGCCAAACAGTCTTTTGGTGCTGTAAACCGCCCTAGACCAACGCAACGTTTCCCCTATTCACCATCTTGTTATAGTAGACACAGACACGGACACGGACACACAGACACAGACACAGACACGGACACAGACACAGACACAGACACAGACACAGACACAGACACAGACACAGACACAGACACAGACACAGACACAGACACAGACACAGACGCAGACACAGACACAGACACGGACACAGACACAGACACAGACACAGACACAGACACACAGACACAGAGACACACAGACACAGAGAGAGAGACACACACACACACACAGACACACACACACACAGACACAGACACACACACACACACACACA